AAGTAAACGCTGTATTTTCTGTTCAATTTAATGATCGCTTCATGCCTCGAACAAAGGTAGTGAATCACGTAAACCATTTAGTATAAGATGTGTTCCTATTGATTTGTTGTTTCACCACAGGTTCTTCTTACCGAGTCACTTTCTCAGTTCGATACATAAAGGCAATGTCATTATTTAGCGTTGCTGAATTTCTAACCGTGGGTAACGTGCATTTCTGCCAAGGTTTGGACATAGAAGAACTGAAGTCTAACTTTGGAAGAAATTCATCAAGATTTAAAACAGTTGCTTGTATGTGAAGTGTGCATGATGTCAATAAAGGAAAAGCGCACAGTGAACTTGAATGCAGCTGCAATAAGACCAGATCATAGTGAACTTGGTGTACTTTCAGGTTGGGACAGTAACGTACATTTCATTTTCACATACTCAAAGCCTTATTTCAGAATGACTATTGTACTTGGGAAGCTGAATGTTTTGGTACTAGTTGCCTAGATCAAACCCTTTATTTACCACATACAACATCATGCGAAGTAAGTTTATGATTTACATATGACAGTGAGACATCATTTGGACCTGCTTATTGGGTTTCATTGGCGGCCTGTGCGTCCAACTAGACACGGGCTGATTTAACAAGCTGGAACCCGACACATGCTATGATCGTGATTAAAATACTGTTACAACAACCGTTATCTAATTTTAAACTCCTTTTTAAAAGTTGTTATGGACTGCTGATCAGTGATGTTCTAAACAGGAGGCGTTTCTGTGAGAGTATAACCATATGTGGATTTGTGTATCTGATTTGACTGTTTAGTTTCCTTTTAGATTTGTGGCCACATGTTGTTTGATGTCATTGAGATGTGAAAGTAATGTGTGCCATAGATTGTACTCGAATTATGCTATCACGCGACTGTGAACCATGTCAAGGTGAAACTATGGTTAACCGAATTATTTGGTTGGACCTCTTTAAACAGCATTTCAGTCTGTTTTAGACTGGTTTGTTACTCACAATACAATCAGCATTATTTCCACGGATATGGGATTCGAACCGCAGTTCTGGCTTAAGGACAATCAGATGTGACGCCTTGAACGACCATTCTTGTAGGAACTGAATACCCTCGGAGTTGACTGTATGCCGAGTTTAAAGTAGGCATAGTTTACCAAAGCTCAAATTAACAATTAGCAAATCTCTATAAGAAATATATTTGAGTATATTATTATAAAGAGTAGTATTTTGTTAAGTAAATCTTTTGAACTTATCAAGGGAGCAACAATGTGTTCTGATTGTGAGATTGGTATACACATGTTTAGGGTGTTCTGAATGTGAGATTGGTATACACATGTTTAGGGTGTTCTGAATGTGAGATTGGTATACACATGTTTAGGGTGTTCTGAATGTGAGATCGGTATACACATGTTTAGGGTGTTCTGATTGTGAGATTGGTATACACATGTTTGATTGGGATTGTTCTGATTGATTTGAGATTGGTATACACATGTTTAGGGTGTTCTGATTGTGAGATTGGTATACACATGTTAAGGATGTTCATGTTGATTGTGAGATTGGTATAACACATGTTAAGGGTGTTCTGATTGTGAGATTGGTGAGTTTAGGGTGTTCTGAATTATTGAGATTGGTATACACATGTTTAGGGTGTTCTGATTGTGAGATTGGTATACACATGCTAGGGTGTTCTGAGGGTGTTCTGATTGTGAGATTGGTATACATGTTTAGAGATGTTCTGATTGTGGTATACACATATTTAGGGTGTTCTGATTGTGAGATTGGTATACACATGTTCAGGGTGTTCTGATTGAGTATACACATGAGGGATTGGTATATACACATGTGTTCTGATTGTGGGTGTTAGGGTGTTGATTTGATTGAGATTGGTATACACATGTTTGTTCTGATTGTGAGTGTTCATGTTAAGGATGTTCTGATTGTGAGATTGGTATACACATGTTTAGGGTGTTCTGATTGTGAGATTGGTATACACATGTTTAGGGTGTTCTGATTGTGAGATTGGTATACACATGTTTAGGGTGTTCTGATTGTGAGATTGGTATACACATGTTAAGGGTGTTCTGATTGTGAGTATACACATGTTTGGTATACACATGTTTGGGGTGTTCTGATTGTGAGATTGGTATACACATGTTTGGGGTGTTCTGATTGTGAGACTGGTATACACATGTTTAGGGTGTTCTGATTGTGAGATTGGTATACACATGTTTTGGGGTGTTCTGATTGTGAGATTGGTATACACATGTTTAGGGGTGTTCTGATTGTGAGTGATTGGTATACACATGTTTAGGGTGTTCTGATTGTGAGATTGGTATACACATGTTTAGGGTGTTCTGATTGCATGTTTGGTGTTCTGATTGTGAGATTGGTATGTTCTGATTTGAGATTAGTATACACATGTTTAGGGTGTTCTGATTGTGAGATTGGTATACACATGTTAAGGGTGTTCTGATTGTGAGATTGGGTATGCCCATGTTTATGGGTGTTCTGATTGTGAGATTGTATATACACATGTTTAGGGTGTTCTGATTGTGAGATTGGTATACACATGTGTTAGGGGTGTTCTGATTGTGAGATTGGTATACACATGTTTGGGGTGTTCATGTTTAGGGTGTTCTGATTGTGAGAGACTGGTATACACATGTTCAGGGTGTTCTGATTGTGAGATTGGTATACACATGTTTAGGGGTGTTCTGATTGTGAGATTGGTATACACATGTTTAGGGTGTTCTGATTGTGAGATTGGTATACACATGTTTAGGGTGTTCTGATTGTGAGATTGGACATGTTTAGGGTGTTCTGATTGTGAGATTGGTATACACATGTTTGGGGTGTTCTGATTGTGAGATTGGTATACACATGTTTGGGTGTTCTGATTGTGAGATTGGCATAAACATGTTAAGGATGTTCTGATTGTGAGATTGGTATACACATGTTTAGGGTGTTCTGATTGTGAGATTGGGATACACATATTTAGGGTGTTCTGATTGTGAGATTGTATACACATATTTGGGGTGTTCTGATTGTGAGATTGGTATACACATGTTTGGGTGTTCTGATTGTGAGATTGGCATAAACATGTTAAGGGTGTTCTGATTGTGAGATTGGTATGCACATATTTACGGTGTTCTGTTTGTGAGATTGGTATACACATGTTTAGGGTGTTCTGATTGTGAGATTGGTATACACATGTTTGGGGTGTTCTGATTGTGAGACTTGTATACACATGTTCAGGGTGTTCTGATTGTGAGATTGGTATACACATGTTTAGGAATGTTCTGATTGTGAGATTGGTATACACATGTTTGGGTGTTCTGATTGTGAGATTGGCATAAACATGTTAAGGGTGTTCTGATTGTGAGATTGGTATACACATGTTTAGGGTGTTCTGATTGTGAGATTGGGATACACATATTTAGGGTGTTCTGATTGTGAGATTGTATACACATATTTGGGGTGTTCTGATTGTGAGATTGGTATACACATGTTTTGGATGTTCTGATTGTGAGATTGGCATAAACACATGTTCTGATTGTGAGATTGGTATACACATGTTTAGGATGTTCTGATTGTGAGATTGGTATACACATATTTAGGGTGTTCTGATTGTGAGATTGTATACACATATTTAGGGTGTTCTGATTGTGAGATTGGTATACACATGTTTAGGGTGTTCTGATTGTGAGATTGGTATACACATGTTTAGGGTGTTCTGATTGTGAGACTGGTATACACATGTTTGGGGTGTTCTGATTGTGAGATTGGTATACACATGTTTGGGGTGTTCTGATTGTGAGATTGGTATACACATGTTTAGGGTGTTCTGATTGTGAGACTGGTATACACATGTTTAGGTGTGTTCTGATTGTGAGATTGGTATACACATGTTTAGGGGTGTTCTGATTGTGAGATTGGTATACACATGTTTAGGGTGTTCTGATTGTGAGATTGGTATACACATGTTAAGGGTGTTGTGATAGGGTTTGCCTTGGAATTAAGGGGACAGATAACCTGGTACTAAGTTATCAATCATTTTATAGAACACATACGCTTGTGTCGGAACCTTTGCCTTGGAATTAAGGGGACAGATAACCTGGTACTAAGTTATTAATCATTTTATAGAACACATTCGCTTGTGTCGGAACCTTTGCCTTGGAATTAAGGGGACAGATAACCTGGTACTAAGTTATCAATCATTTTATTGAACACATACAGCTTTGGAAGATATCTCCTTTCTTGGTTTGTGTCTCGGACGGCTGCACAGTTCTAATTGCTTTTGATTGATTTATTTTTCAGTCGTGTACAGTTATCCCAAATATGACAAGATAAATCAAAGGCCGGCAGAAATAATGATTTACACGTTGTCTTCTGTTTTCCTGTTGGGGAGATACTTGTAACTTCTGATACATTTTATCATCGGACTAATCTTTGTAATTGTATTTTTGACTATGCCACAATCAGTCTTGTCGAATATTCCTGTGAGAGAACACTTCTTCAATAATAGCGCTATGAAATTAATTACTCTGGTTTTGCGTAAGGAATTCTTTTACGCGTAAACTGGATTGAAATTTGAGATTGATCTTAAATTGTCATTCTTCAGCCCAGTCTGTTATTTATCATATATCGGTGTTGAGACACTGTGAAGCTGCATTAGGAAATAACAGCAATATCATGACGGGGGACACAAAGCTGCCAATGTGGACAACTGTGTATACCACCGCTTTTAAACCTGTATCAGTTTAGATGACGCAGGTCGCGGTCTACTTGATATTTGGGTGATACAAGAACTTGATGTGTGCTTACACCGCGAGACTTATATACAGATTCGAACTCATGACTGGCGACGGAACCCTGCACAACAACCTCTGTCGACGTCTGTCTCCGTGGTACTAGATAGGGTCTGATATCCCACCAGGAACCACCGGTAACAACTTGTATATACACAGCCAAATGTGAAACCTCCCACGCAGTGGGAATCGTCAGTGTGGTGATAAGTCACGTCCTTTGACGAGATCTCGCGAAATCTGACAAGCTGCGCTACTGACACGTTGTCATTCTTCTTCACAGCTCGCAGTCTTCTGAGCAGCAGGTACCTATAGTTCATTACATGAAACTATACTAATATACACACACTTCAATCCATCAAAGCGGTCATAACGCTCAGACTGTGTATGTTAAGGTATGAGAGTTACGGTGGTCTGAGCGCTATGTTCGCTTGTCATATGGACCCAATAGTGTAGAAGGATTTTGTATGTAGCCTTGATAACGGAATAGCACCACTTTATAACCACTCATATTTCATATAGCAACACGATTGTTAATTGTTAACATGTTCTGTTCGAAACATTGGATTCGTTGCTGAATCTCTGGCATTTTCTTTGCTAGCCCCGTTCATAACTGCGTCAGCTTAACGCGAATTGGCGCCAGGAGTGACGCAGGCAAACCCTACTCAGTCAGATCCATGAAATGTGAGACACATTTAGAGAGCGGTTATATTTTTCAATGTTCTGACATTTCTGATATGACGTCAATGATATGTGGAGTGAAAGCGCCATATGGTGTCTCTGCTGTAAACAGAGTGTACAGTGCCATTTGTATCTCCGGCATACCCCTACCGTTTGAATGAACATTTGAACATTTGAATGTGACCCTCTCACGTGACGATATCTTGCAAACTAGAGTTCTACAATATCCTGTTGTTGACCAAAGGTCAACAATTTTGTCCTTATGCTGTACCAACGTCTTCAATAATGCCTATGAAATACAAGAGGCCAGAAGTAATATTTGTAAGATTAACCTGGAGATAGTTGATCGTGTACCGATGGTGAGACCATGCAGTCTCCCGCTAGTTTGTCTGGCATAGTTACCATAATTAACATACTGCTGTGGTACAACATTGAAGAACATTTATGCAATACAGGTTAATTTCCAACGACTAATGAAATACCTGAAGCTGCTTCACGTGTATGTGTGCTGCATTTGTGCTTCATGTATTCATTTGCGATTCGTCTGTGCTTCATGAGTGTTTCACGTAAGTTTCATGTTTTCTCCTTGAGTGTTTCGCGTGTTTCCAGTCTGCTGCATGAGTGTTTCACGTGTGTTTCATGTTTGTTTCTTGAGTGTTTCATGTGTGCTCCATGTGTGCCCCATGAGTGTTTCACGTGTGTTTCGTGTTTGTTTCTTGAGTGTGTCTTGACTGATTCGCGTGTGCTTCATGAGTGTTTCACGTGTGTTTCGTGTTTGTTTCTTGAGTGTGTCTTGATTGTTTCACGTGTGCTTCATGAGTGTTTCATGTGTGCTTCATGTTTGTTGCTTGAGTGTTTCACGTGTGTTTCATGTGCGCTTCTTGTAATGAGTGTGTCATTTGACCAGATGACCGCTACATAGTCACCAGTTTATCTGCCTACTCCCATCTATGGCTCATCATCAGCAGAGACTGAATGTCTGTAAACACTGACACTCGTGTGAAACAAGCCAACTGCGGACACGACGAACATCTGACCGGGGATCGATTAAAAAATACATAAGACATTATTCCAAATAGATGTGTATGTTGGGCTGATCCAACAATACATCACTGCATGGGGAGAGGGGGAAGTGATAGAAGAAGAAGACAGGAGAGAGAGGGGGAGGATGGAGGGTGCGGTGAAGAGGAAATTGGGAACCAAGGGGAGAGAGAAGGTGAAAAGATAGATTCAGAGAAAAGGGTAGGGAGACAGAGAAGCGAGAAGAGGGAGAGAAATGAGAGAGCGAGACAGGCAGAAAGGGGGAAAGCGAGAGTGTCAGAGAGAGAGAGAGAGAGAAATGAGAGAGAGAGAAAAGGGAGAATGAAAAAAGAGAGACAATGGGGTTGGGGTGTGTATGTGTGAGTGTATACAGGATTACAGGAGATGGGGTGGCGCTACTGAGTCATAGGGACTCAGCTGTATTCTGTCTAGTTCACGACATGTACGTAATCAAGTGTGCACCAAACAATCCAATGATTGCTACATTATGAACATCGCCCACCTGAGAGACTGCGAGACCAAAGTGTGATTTGTTTAGTTGACCTCTTTCCAGAATGAGGCTGAGCGTGATTGTCCTGATCGTCTTCTGTGTTGCCTGCAATGCTACGGAGCTAGAGCATAAGCTGCAGGAGTTTGTACAAGGACATGTGTTGGCTGGGCTGCCTCAGCAGGAGAGGGTCCTGTTGGCGCAGCTGGTGGCTACAGCTGAAAAAAATGAGCTGAAGGAGTTCCTGGACTTGGTGGGGCCATTACCTCTCTTACAGCTCATCTCAGGTAGGGGCCATTACTTCTCCTACAGCTCATAACAGGTAGGGTCGTGACCTCTCTTACAGCTCATCTCAGGTAGGGGCCATTACTTTTCTTACAGCTCATATCAGGTAGGGGCCATTTTCTCCTACAGCTCATAACAGGTAGGGTCGTGACCTCTCTTACAGCTCATATCAGGTAGGGTCGTGACCTCTCTTACAGCTCATATCGGCTAGAGTCGTGACCTCTCCTACAACTCATATCAGGTAGGGGTCGTGACCTCTCCTACAGCTCATATCACGTAGGGTCGTGACCTCTCCTACAACTCATATCATGTAGGGTCGTGACCTCTCCTACAGCTCATATCACGTAGGGTCGTGACCTCTCCTACAACTCATATCAGGTAGGGTCGTGACCTCTCCTACAACTCATATCATGTAGGGTCGTGACCTCTCCTACAACTCATATCATGTAGGGTCGTGACCTCTCCTACAACTCATATCATGTAGGGTCGTGACCTCTCCTACAGCTCATATCACGCTCATATCATGTAGGGTCGTGACCTCTCCTACAACTCATATCATGTAGGGTCGTGACCTCTCCTACAGCTCATATCACGCTCATATCATGTAGGGTCGTGACCTCTCCTACAACTCATATCATGTAGGGTCGTGACCTCTCCTACAGCTCATATCATGTAGGGTCGTGACCTGTCTTAGAGCTCATATCATGTAGGGTCGTGACCTCTCCTACAACTCATATCATGTAGGGTCGTGACCTCTCCTACAACTCATATCAGGTAGAGTCGTGATCTCTCTTACAGCTCATATCGGCTAGAGTCGTGACCTCTCCTACAACTCATATCAGGTAGGGGTCATGACCTCTCTTACAGCTCATATCACGTAGGGTCGTAACCTTTCCTTCAACTCATATCACGTAGGGTCGTGAACTCTCCTTCAACTCATATCACGTAGGGTCGTGAACTCTCCTACAACTCATATCACGTAGGGTTCATTGACTGTTTTCCCGTTCATCTCGGTTAGAGATATTACATGTCTGATAGCTGAAACATGTAGGGGTCATTGACTGTCTCACAGCTCATATCAGGAAGGGGGAGGTTTCATTAGCTGTCGTACAGTTCATCTCGTGTGGGAGCCATGTCGTCTTAAAGCTTACCTTAGCTGACTCGGTTGACACGTGTCATCGGTTCCCAATTGCGTAGATCTACGTTCATGATGTTGGTCACTGGATTGTCTGGTCCAGACTCAGTTATTTACAGACCACCGCCATATCCCTAGAACAAAGACTTTAGCTATTAAGTTTGCATGTTGAATGATATTAACTGATCTTAAAACAAAAGCGACAAACCCTATCAACAAATGAAATATGTGCTCTTGCTCGACATAAAGAGAAAGTGCACTATTTGAAAGTTGAAGTCATCACTTTTATATCACTCGGAATCTTTTACCGATCTATATATAAGATGATTGTGGTTTCATAGATCTCACTCTTTCAAGAGTAAGATATGCCGGTTCCATATTTGCTATGATGACTACATTGTTCAATGTTTTCTCTGCACAGATCTGCCAGTTAGGCACATCCACAACTTGACTCGTTATCTCAGCCAGGTAAGATAACCATTATTTTGTTGACACTGTCAAATGATCTGGCACGAACGTTGCTGTTGTAAAAACAGTACCGACAATCAAACGTTGGTGTTATATATACACTGTACCGACTATCAAACGTTTGTGTTATATACACTGTACCGACTATCAAACGTTGGTGTTATATACACTGTACCGACTATCAAACGTTGGTGTTATATATACACTGTACCGACAATCAAACGGTGGTGTTATATATACTGTACCGACCATCAAACGTTGGTGTTATATACACTGTACCGACAATCAAACGTTGGTGTTATATGTACTGTACCGAGAATCAAACGGTGGTGTTATATATACTGTACCGACAATCAAACGTTGGTGTTATATTCACTATACCGAGAATCAAACGGTGGTGTTATATATACTGTACAGACTATCAAACGTTGCTGTTATATACACTGTACCGAGAATCAAACGGTGGTATTATATACACTGTACCGACTAGAAACACAGCAACATGGTGCTGACAAACCTAGAAACATAAGCGTGACAAACCGTGCGTCTATCCGACGATCACAGGGTTCTGGTGAGCCCAAGGGACGCAACTCTGCCATACGTTACGGTATAGCTTAGGTAAACAATGCCGAGGTCCCATGATTCTTTAAACTGACCGTTGCATCAATGTTTTAACTTGTATATTGTGTTAACCTGGGTAGTACCGCTTCTCGTCATCTGCTGAAGCCATGGCAGTTACATTTCAGCACCTCCGTATCTTGGTGGCGGTATGCAGGATGTGGTTCCTGGTCCAGTTTACACATGATTTCCTGTTTCAGGCCCTGATCGCAGAGGCGTCAAACATTCCACCAGCACTGCTTCACTGGAACCCGTTGTTCGGCATGCTTGGAATTCACGTCAATTGACACCGTGCCGTTATTGACGACGACGTATACACAACAATCCTCTCCCCCTTAAAGTATGTCCATGTATGATTGATTGTTGTAAACTAAACCCTTACACAAACAGAAAATGAAATACATGTATGTTCGTATGGTCACATATAGCAAGATCAGGTAAATATGACTGTTATATATTTTAATGACATTCGAGGTCAATAGTGGACTCCCTTACCACGATAGCCAGAAAATTCAAAGTTCTGAAAGTGCAGAACGTGGTCATTGGTCAGATCACAACTCCCAGGTGACCTTGAGTGATGAGAAACCTACGGTTACAATGTGGGACCTAGCGCGTCATTGTAACCCGATGGAGTGAATCGTTGCTTAGGCTTTCAACCACTGGTTTCTATCCTGCAAACTAGATTCTTTACACGAGTGTCCTACCCAGAGTTCCATGCGGCCAGGGTAGTACCTTCACCACAGGCAGCTGTCATGTTTAGATTCGACACATCTTACACAGTCCGTTCAAGATACTGTCTTGGTTTTTCATCCGTTTCATTTTTGACAAGTGATAGTGATAGAGTGTTTGCGTTCACTGAGTAAATATTCTAAAACGTGAAAATACTATTGCCATCTGTTTTAAAAACACAGCCAAAGGGAGATAATCTGAAGACATTTACGTTACAAAGTGTTTTGACACAGCGACGGTTTACAACGTCCTACCACGTGTTGACTGCTGATGCAACATAACAGATGTGCTGTCAGACATGTATGTGTGGCTCTTCCACCAGCACGGATACAGCTGAACTGCTGCAGCTGTAACACCATGTTGTCACAGGTATGACAGGAACTGGTGAATCCATTGTACTCGTGGTTCCTGGATACGGAGACAACTCTGCTGCCAGGGTATGTATGATCAACATTTTGTGTGAACCAAAAGAAAGTATACACTTCAAAACGGGATTTGACCAAAACTGATAGGGTTATTGGATTGAAACACTGTAAAGTTAAGGTCTAAAATATTACTATGAAACCTGTATCAGCAACCTCACCGTCGAGTAGCGAATGTTTCATTTTTAGCCACCATCAAACATGTTTGTCTACCATTCTCTGGTAGAGAGGAGAAACTCCACAGCCAAAGGGAGATAATCTGAAGACCTTTACGTTACACTCTTCCACATTAGAAGTCAACCTTTATAGTGAGTGAGTTCAGGTGTACGTCGCTTTTAGCAATATTCCTGCAATATCACAGCGTGGGGCACCAGAAATATGCTTCAAACATTGTATACATGTGGGGAATCGAATCCGGGCGAGCGAAAGCTTTAACCACTATAGTCTGTTTGCAGTGAAAACGTACCGATGAATGTCAGTTTAAACCAAAAGGTAAAGCAAATAAAGTGAAATTAAGACTGCGAATCCTCATGATTTTACCTTGCCAATTGAACATTTAAATCTCAGAATTTTATTCGACTTAGGATAAAAGTTGTTTAACAAACGATCATAGTCTCGCATGACTATTATTGGTTTGTATTACAAGGGGGTGTGCACATCAAACGAAACACCGAAAACGACAAGGGTTGTTAAAAGTTAACGCTCTTCGCGTACCGCACGTGCATTTGTTTCACTGTTCCAACTACTGCGCTTACCCCCTTGTAATGCAGACCAGTAATAGCGATTTGAATATATGATCGTTTGTTAAACAACTTTTATCCTAATATGAATAAAATTTTGAGATTTAAATGTTAAATTGGCAAGGTAAAATTATGAGGATTCGCAATCTTACTTTCACTTTATTTGATTTACTTTTTTGTTTAAAGTAAAATTCATTGGTACGTTTTCACTGCAAACAGACTATAGGCTACCCCAGCGCCCCCAACCTTTATAACAGAATTATTAATTCCGTCACAGAGTTTCCTCCAGTGATATACAGTGCACATTTACATATTTCTTCATGCTTACATAACCTTTCTGTCTGACGACTAAAGCAAACTTACGGATGTACGATATATTTAGTAAAGAGCAAATAGCGTCTTTAAGCGTTAAACATACTCGGAATTACAACGATGGGGACACTGGCTGGTATATTTCTATTTTCAAACAACGCACACGCTAAGATAGACAACTCTTCGACATACGAAACTTCTTTTCAATCCCTATTTTGATTATTAATTGGAAAAATAAAGATTGCCAACTCAAATTTAGAAATGTATGCTAACACATTTACCCATATAATTCGCCACACGTGTTTATTCTAGTGAGTGAGTGAGTTTAGTTTTAAGTCCTTTTAGCAATATTCCAGCAATATCACGGTTTGGGTCATCAGAAATGGACTTCACACAGTGTTTATTCTGAAGTCATACTGATGAAGAAACACGACACGCGTTTGTGAAAGTGATGTTTAATTACTATTGCAGACAAAAGCAATAACACAGCTGTCTACAGCAAACTATACCCGGCAACAAGTTCACATGCGATAAATAATCCGCTTTTAATCAAGATTAGCGTTTGATAGTCGTGGTACTGTTTAATGTGTGTGTGTGTGTGTGCGCGCGCGTGCGTGCGTGTGTGTACGTGCGTGCGATCGTGCGAGTGCGTAATATAAGTATTTGGACGTTTCCTAAACCTCTATCGTTGGTATTCAAGTCCGTGGAAGTCATCGGGCTCACATGTCAAAGCTTGACATCACCGACTCTGGCCACTCCGAGCCTCCCTCCCTATTCGTACTGGCACCTTCGTTGAGATGTAACTAATTGAATGAATTCAAAGTTATACTGGATTTTACCTTTTCCTTCTTCAGCATAGAGCAGTAAAATTGAGACATGATTTCAATTAAACAAACGGAACAAATTTGATTCCGGAACTGAATGGGAGCATTTTGGGTCGTTTTTCAAATTTAAATATAGACTTCAGCGAACAGGCTGTCATTAACAGTCTTTTTGCAGAGCAGGATATGCTTATCGTTTTCACTAAGGCCTGGTGTCAATTCTGATTTTCAGTCATCCTGTCAAACATATTTCATAGCTTTCCTATCACGCCGTATTGGAATCCGTTTCTGTGGAGAATAGCGACATGCTAACGACAGGCTATTCTCTGGAGTTTCAGAAACCATTGCACAACAACTGGTATTAAACCGAGGGCATCAGAAACTATAGCTTTTAGGTGATCTCATCACGTTTGAATTTCCAACATATCTTCAATTAGCGATGTATTGAAAACAAAACTGCCTGTACTAGTGTTTAATTCGCACTCGGAGAATGCTTCAACATAATTTGGTTTTACAAAGCTTACAAAGATATAAATCAATAAATAATCGGCACAAATGTACAGAATTTGTATTTTTTCCAAAACTGTTGTAGGAATGAATGTCATGGTATGAATGAACTGATAAAATTTAACAATTCGTCCAAGTTTCATTTACATAAAGCCAAACCCCTATACTTTCTTCTGTTCTTCAGTTTAGTTTCAAGTAGAGATTAACACAAACAATTTAAGAGAAAAAGACTATATATGATTCGACTTATCACTGATTTTCTGTGGTAAATTTCTATGGGATATGTATAGTAAAGATCGCGAAAACCCTGTCAAGAAAACCTGTTGATCCATTATGTTTCGAAATACTGCATGGAAAACTGCCAATACTATATGAATGCTGGTTCTGTACAACCCGACGAAGCTCAACATGAAAAACTTGAATATTGCGTTTCAGCAGAGTGGAAACATTATGCCTTAAAATCAGTTTAGTAAGAAAACACAAGACGAGCCAGATGTGCTTCTCTCTAAAACACCCCGATAAACCTGGGGATGTTCGCTTTAATCAGGCCACCACCAGCTACAGTGTACAATTGGACAAAGGTTTCGCTGAGTTCAACATGCTGTCCAGTCGATTCCACGGATGCAACACAATCTGAAACGAAAAACAATGTATCTTTAAGTAAAATGTCTGGAGAAGAATCCAGTGAGTCAGTAAACTACTAAACTCGTTGTTGCCAATACCAGAGCGACCCGGATCCTAGAAAGTCGCTACAAGATGCGCACATGTATCTGTTTGGTCATGATATTTCTTTTGCTTAATGCCACACATCACAATATATGACGGCGATCTCTAAATAATCGTGTTTCGACCAGGCAATCTTATGACTGCCTCATGAGCATAGATGATATAATATGACATGCATCAGCTAAATTAGATGACCACCCGATCATGTTCGTTGCCTTTTACGATGAGCATTGACTGATGAAGCCCAGCTGCAACCCGGATCTTCGTGGGTTTATGTTTTGATATAAATTGAGGGTTTAGTTTAATGTAGATAATCTGAGTCTGACTCCGTGCATTGCCAGATAGACCAAAACGGACCAGGTTGGTCAATAGTGGTTCAGTTGTAGATATCCGGTAGAGAAGTTCAAATGCAGTATATGCCAAGAAGAAAAACGAAAGTACGAATCACTTAAGTATGTATAATTTGTTCTCTCAAACAAAGATCATAGCAATTTTAATGTTGCATATTTGGTTGTTGCTGTTTTCATAATAAAAAAATAAATACATCCTCTCGGTAATCAAATCGTAGTCATAATTGAAACATATCAATAATGACTTTCTGTACATAACAGTGTTTTAGTACATTACGTGTCATCTAACACCTAGGATCAAAAGATCACCAAAAGAGATGCAGTCATCAAATTTGGGGAAACTGATAAGTAGCGGATACTGGCACATTAAGGGGCGACGAACCGTGCACAGTGCCTTAGGTCGCTAGGGCCATAACTACTCGCTTGTGGAGAAAACACGATCGTAACTATGTTTTAAATGTATGTAAGAGTAAAAGATTTAACACACGCTGACTCACTTGCTCATTGTGCGTTAGTCTGAGTTCCCATGTTCGCTGTGTTCATGTGTTGATCTGAGTACAACATCTCATTCAGCCATGTTACAAAATCCTTTCTGAAAGCAGCCAATTCCGCCATTGTGTCGTTAATGTTCGCTGCATCTCTCTTGTCTTCGACACCACCTGTCTCAGTCTTTAGCAGTTCGTTCTCAAGCACATCCTCAACCTCATGGACGATATCAAGGAAGTCATCTTTCAAACATTCCCAGAACGTCTTCATTGTTTCTGCAATGTCGCGTTTCTCAAACCCTGCTGTTCCAGTGTTTGAAATGACAGCTGAACCTTCAGACATCTGCCCAAACTGATGACCGACGTTTTCGAATTCCTGCTTTTCATTGCTCCAGAAGTCTCGCTTTTTAACGTTGACATCTCGTTTTCGACCAAGAATAGCGGAGGCAGAATTGGCGAGATTAGCAACGACAGCTCCCTCGACAGCGTGTCCGACCTGGTGTGCGACATTTTCTACTTCGTGTTTAAGATGGCTCCAGAAGTCTCGCTTTTCATCGTTGACATCGTTGATTGGCGAGATAGCAACGACAGCTCCCTTTCCGACCTGGTGTGCGACAACTTCGTGAATGGCAGAAGTCTCGCTTTTCATCGTTGGCACGTTTTCGACCAAGAATGGCGGAGGCAGAATTGGCGAGATTAGCAACGACAGCTCCCTCGACAGCGTGTCCGACCTGGTGTGCGACATTTTCTACTTCGTGTTTAAGATGGCTCCAGAAGTCTCGCTTTTCATCGTTGACATCACGTTTTCGACCAAGAATGGCGGAGGCAGAATTGGCGAGATTAGCAACGACAGCTCCCTCGACAGCGTGTCCGACCTGGTGTGCGACATTTTCTACTTCGTGTTTAAGATGGCTCCAGAAGTCTCGCTTTTCATCGTTGACATCACGTTTTCGACCAAGAATGGCGGAGGCAGAATTGGCGAGATTAGCAACGACAGCTCCCTCGACAGCGTGTCCGACCTGGTGTGCGACATTTTCTACTTCGTGTTTAAGATGGCTCCAGAAGTCTCGCTTTTCATCGTTGACATCACGTTTTCGACCAAGAATGGCGGAGGCAGAATTGGCGAGATTAGCAACGACAGCTCCCTCGACAGCGTGTCCGACCTGGTGTGCGGCATTTTCTACTTCGTGTTTAAGATGGCTCCAGAAATCTCGCTTTTCATCGTTGACATCACGTTTTCGACCAAGAATGGCAGAGGCAGAATTGGCGAGATTAGCAACAACAGCTCCCTCGACAGCGTGTCCGACCTGGTGTGCGACATTTTCTACTTCGTGTTTAAGATGGCTCCAGAAGTCACGTGTCATGACAATGCCTTGTTGAAACGGTAGGGCACTGGCAGTGCAGACAAGTACTGTTAGAAGACTGACCATTACTGACATCTTGAATCCTATATGAACGAAACGTAGCCATTAATAATCAGTGAGTGAGTAAATGGGTGTCCTAGCTATATTTTACACAGCGTGTGCCTGGAGACACATATGCATCGTTTTATATATTAAAGGCATTTGTGAATTACGTTGCTACATAAGTGTTATTAAATTTTGACCGAGACGCTTCACTCCATTTCAGTATTTATATAATGGCATGAGTGATTTCTGTGGCAATAGTATTTATGATTTGTCAGCAATATTCAAGCACTATATATCACAGCGGCCTGTAAATAACCAAATCAGGACCTATGAAAACGGTGATAGCCTCGCATGGGGGAAAATACAGTCAGCAGATCATTGATATTATAGCATCGTCCGGAACTTTCACACGTTTGTAGTCTCCCCTTATGATTCGCTTGGATTGCGGGCGGTGGGATAGCCTAGTGGTTAAGGCGTTCGCTTGTCAAGACCCGGGTTCGATTTCCCATATGGGTACAATGTGTGAAGCCCATCTGTATTATCCCCTGCCGTGATATTGCTGGAATATTGCTAAGCACGGCGTCTAACTCACTCGCTCTCTTGGATTGCAGAGCACCATTTCTAGCATATAAATGCCGAGGCCAATTTCATTTGTGGGATTCACTAAACAACTAATTCATTGGGTGAACACAACATTACATTCGACCGAAAAAGCGCAAAGTGATGCAATACTCAAGGTATTGCAATATATACGTAATTGTGATTTTATGACAAATGAAGATCAAATTGGTGTTTCAAACTGGCTATATGTTTGGTTATGATGGAGTGAGTGTGTATGGTTTTAAGCCGCTTTTAGCAATATTCCGGCGGGGAACACCAGAAATGGGGTTCACATATTGTACCCATGTGGGGAATCGAACCCGGATCTTCGGCGTGACGAGCCAATGCTTTAACCACTAGGCTACCCCAACGCCCCTGTTATGATAACGCCCCTTAATGAATAAAAAAATGTCTACTTACCTTTCTCTGAAGCAAAGTGAACGGGTAAATGTACTGTGCTCGTCATTTACTCAGATTATATATCTAGCGGCAGCAGGGACATCTGTTGGAAGGGGAACAGTTCTCAATAACATCCTGTGGACGGTCCCTATCTCTTGCATAACCGACCTGAACTTCACTGCACACATGACCTTGACGTCAACTTGGTTCTTGTAGCTGGACCCCTACATACGTGCTGTCATGGTGCCATGCGTTTGATGAATGAAAGGCGTATAGGAGAAGATCACAACTGTAAAACACGTTAACAGAAACTGATTTCTTTATTGTTTTACAGAAATACAAGAACGGGTTGTAACCATGCATAGGTTCTACAACATTTTAAAATATTTAAACGCGTCGCAACCTGTTATTGAAACAAAACTATCATTATCTTTGAATAGGAATGAGATATATGTGATGTCTGTATCTCGCCCCAGGGACCCAGTTCCAGTACGATGATCGTACTATCACTGTCTATGTTCCTTAAATGAGAGATACATTTGCCAAACAATAACTGCCACAATACTGTGTCATTTCCTTCATATCAGAAATAGATTCGGTGCCTGAGATTTCATTTTACTTTCATTGTTCAAATTTCATTAATCATGTAGACTGTGGCCTCAACGCCATTACTCAATACATAAAACAACTGGTTTGGTCATATTCTGACCTGGATACGTCGTCTAGTTTAGTGGGTAAAGCGTTAGCTCGTCACGCCAAAAACCCGGGTTTGATTCCCAACATGAGTACAGTGTGTGAAGCTCATTTCTGGTGTCCCCGCCGTGATATTGCTGGAATATTGCTAAAAGCGGCGGAAAACTAAACCCACTTACTCTCTCCTTGTTACCTGCTCTTGACCAGAACAGATCTAAGTGCCCGACCTTGACTTCTCATCATTGTATCAGGAGGTCCCACTTTCCTCTCATGACATAATAGCAAGCCAACCAACACACCTGCAAGCCAACCAACACACCTGCACACCTTGCAATCTTGAAGAAGATTGAGAGCATCCATTTCTTCTTGATCTTGTCATCGTAAAGTAAAATGAAGACATCTGACGTCACAGAGTCAATTATGACATACCATCTACTTCTTCAAAAACAACATCATCAAGTCAGTTCAATCGGGCGTTTTACAACTTCGTTTCTCATTCCAGATAATGTGGTAAAGCATTGCGCCCTGGTCCACAACATCTGCCCAGTCTACATTATTAACCTTCTCTCTGTATCAGCAACTGCTAAGCATAGGATCTCACCATCAAGATTTTACATTTTCTCCACTTCTCCGGTTATCTCCCTTCCATCGGTAGTCCGCCAAACATATGTGAGGCATCTGTTACACGGGTGTTACATCGGGACCTGTACGTCATGCAGTAGACGTAAATATAGTTGTTTAATATATATATTAGGTTTACAAATCAAAACAAATCATTCCAAAGTAATAGAATAGCTGCATAAAATTCAATGGCACTATAATTACCATAGCTGTATAAATACAATAACACTACAATTACCATAGAATTATAAAATACAATGACACTACAATTACCACAGCACTATAAATACAATAACACTACAATTACCACAGCACTATAAATACAATGACACTATAATTACAATAGCAGTATAAACACAATGACACTATAATTACAATAGCAGTATGCATAAAATGACACTACAATTAACACAGCAGTATTTATGAATTCTAAGACACTAAAATTACCATAGCAGTATAATACAATGACACTAAAAATACCATAGCAGTATAATACAATGACACAACAGTTACCATAGCATTATGCATAAATGAGCACTGCAATTACCACAGCTGTATAAATACAATGACACTATAATTACCATAGCAGTATAAACACAATAACACTATAACTACCATAGCAGTATAATACAATGACACTATAATTACCATAGCAGTATAATACAATAACACTATAATACCATAACAGTATAATACAATGACACTATAATTACCATAGCAGCATAAATACAATCACACTATAATTACCATAGCAGTATAATACAATGACACTATAATTACCATAACAGTATAAATACAATAACACTATAATTACCATAACAGTATAATACAACGACACTATAATTACCATAGCAGTATGATACAATTACACTATAATTACCATAGTAGTATAAATACAATGACACTATAATTACTATAGCAGTATAATGCAATGACACTATAATTACCATAGCAGTATAAATACAATGACACTATAATTACCATAGCAGTATAATGCAATGACACAATAATTACCATAGCAGTATAATACAATGACACTATAATTACCATAGCAGTATAAATACAATGACACTAAAATTACTATAGCAGTACAATACAATGACACTATAATTACCACAGCAGTATAAATACAACGACACTATAATTACCATAGCAGTATAATACAATGACACTATAATTACCACAGCAGTATAAATACAATGACACTATAATTACTTTAGCAGTATAATACAATGACACTATAATTACCATAGCAGTATAATATAGTGACACTATAATTACCATAGCAGTATAAATACAATGACACTATAATTACCACAGCAGTATAACACAACGACACTATAATTACCACAGCAGTATAATACAACGACACTATAATTACCATAGCAGTATAATACAATGACACTATAATTACCACAGCAGTATAATACAACGACACTATAATTACCACAGCAGTATAATACAACGACACTATAATTACCATAGCAGTATAATACAATGACACTATAATTACCACAGCAGTATAATACAATGACACTATAATTACCATAGCAGTATAATACAATGACACTATAATTACCATAGCAGCGGTATAATACAACGACACTATAATTACCACAGCAGTATAATACAACGACACTATAATTACCATAGCAGTATAATACAATGACACTATAATTACCATAGCAGTATAATACAATGACACTATAATTACCACAGCAGTATAATACAATGACACTATAATTACCACAGCAGTATAATACAACGACACTATAATTACCACAGCAGTATAATACATATGGCAGTATAAATGCAATGACACATTACCATAGCAGTATGCATAAAATGACACTATAATTGTAACACTATAATTACCATAGCAGTATAATACAATGACACTATATATGAATACCATAGCAGAGTAAAACACAACGACAGAACAAGTTTCCAAAATAGGCCTAATCCGGATATCTAGGGTGAAACCATGACCACTGATGGTACATATGTAACATGAGGTTCCTGACTCATTTGCTTGCCTGATTACAGTCAACACATGCCACGACTCTGACTGCACGTGAAGAGTGATGAGGGTCAACACATGCCACGACTCCGACTGTACGTGAAGACTGATGAGGGTCAACACATGCCAGGCCTACCACTATACGTGAGGAGTGATGAGGGCCAACACATGCCTCTCCTACCACTGAACGTGAAGAGTGATGAGGGTCAACACATGCTTCTCCTACCACTGTTCGTGAAGAGTGATGAGGGTCAACACATGCCTCTACTACCACTGTTCGTGAAGAGTGATGAAGGTCAACACATGCCACGACTCCGACTGTACGTGAAGACTGATGAGGGTCAACACATGCTACCACTCCGACTGTACGTGAAGACTGATGAGGGTCAACACATGCCAAGACTCCGACTGTACGTGAAGAGTGATGAAGGTCAACACATGCCACGACTCAGACTGCACATGAAGACTGATGAGGGTCAACACATGCCACGACTCCGACTGTGCGTGAAGAGTGATGAGGGTCACACAACGACTCCGACTGTACGTGAAGACTGATGAGGGTCAACACATGCCACGACTCAGACTGCACGTGAAGACTGATGAGGGTCAACACATGCCACGACTCCGACTGTACGTGAAGAGTGATGAGGGTCAACACATGCCACGACTCAGACTGTACGTGAAGAGTGATGAGGGTCAACACATGCCACCACTCCGACTGTACGTGAAGAGTGATGAGGGTCAACACATGCCAAGACTCAGACTGCACATGAAGAGTGATGAGGGTCAACACATGCCAAGACTCAGACTGCACATGAAGACTGATGAAGGTCAACACATGCCAAGACTCCGACTGTACGTGAAGACTGATGAGGGTCAACACATGCCAAGACTCAGACTGCACATGAAGACTGATGAAGGTCAACACATGCCACGACTCCGACTGTACGTGAAGACTGATGAGGGTCAACACATGCCACGACTCCGACTGTACGTGAAGAGTGATGAGGGTCAACACATGCTACGACTCCGACTGTACGTGAAGACTGATGAGGGTCAACACATGCCACGACTCCGACTGTACGTGAAGAGTGATGAGGGTCAACACATGCTACCACTCCGACTGTACGTGAAGACTGATGAGGGTCAACACATGCCAAGACTCCGACTGTACGTGAAGAGTGATGAAGGTCAACACATGCCACGCCTACCACTGTACGTGAAGAGTGATGAAGGTCAACACATGCCAAGACTCCGACTGTACGTGAAGAGTGATGAAGGTCAACACATGCCAAGACTCCGACTGTACGTGAAGAGTGATGAAGGTCAACACATGCCACGCCTACCACTGTACGTGAAGAGTGATGAAGGTCAACACATGCCAAGACTCCGACTGTACGTGAAGAGTGATGAAGGTCAACACATGCCAAGACTCAGACTGCACATGAAGAGTGATGAAGGTCAACACATGCCACGACTCCGACTGTACGTGAAGAGTGATGAGGGTCAACACATGCCACGACTCCGACTGTGCGTGAAGACTGATGAGGGTCAACACATGCCACGACTCCGACTTCAACACGTGAAGACTGATGAGGGTCAACACATGCCACGACTCCGACTGTACGTGAAGACTGATGAGGGTCAACACATGCCAAGACTCCACTGTGCATGAAGAGTGATGAAGAGTGATGAAGGTCAACACATGCCACGCCTACCACTGTACCACGCCTACCACTGTACGTGAAGAGTGATGAAGGTCAACACATGCCACGACTCCGACTGTACGTGAAGAGTGATGAAGGTCAACACATGCCACGCCTCCCACTGTACGTGAAGAGTGATGAAGGTCAACACATGCCACGCCTACCACTGTACGTGAAGAGTGATGAAGGTCAACACATGCCAAGCCTACCACTGTACGTGAAGAGTGATGAGGGTCAACACATGCCACGCCTACCACTGTACGTGAAGAGTGATGAGGGTCAACACATGCCACGCCTACCACTGTACGTGAAGAGTGATGAGGGTCAACACATGCCACGCCTACCACTGTACGTGAAGAGTGATGAGGGTCAACACATGCCACGACCCGACTGTACTGTGACGTGCTACCACTCGTGATGAGGGTCAAACATGTACGTGAACGTGAAGAGTGATGAAGGTCAACACATGCCACGCCTACCACTGTACGTGAAGAGTGATGAAGGTCAACACATGCCACGCCTACCACTGTACGTGAAGAGTGATGAAGGTCAACACATGCCACGCCTACCACTGTACGTGAAGAGTGATGAAGGTCAACACATGCCACGCCTACCACTGTACGTGAAGAGTGATGAAGGTCAACACATGCCACGACTCCGACTGTACGTGAAGACTGATGAGGGTCAACACATGCCACCCCTACCACTGTACGTGAAGCGTGATGAGGGTCAACACATGCCAAGCATACCACTGTACGTGAAGAGTGATGAGGGTCAACACATGCCACGTCTACGACTATACGTGAAGACTTATGAGGGTCAACATATGCCTCTCCTACCACTATAAGTGAAGCGTGATTACGGTCAACACATGCCACGCCTACCCCTGTACGTGAAGAGTGATGAAGGTCAATACATGCCACGCCTACCACTGTGCGTGAGGTGTGATGAGGGTCAACACATTCCACGACTCTGACTGTACGTGAACAGTGATGAGGGTCAACATATGCCTCTCCTACCACTATAAGTGAAGCGTGATTACGGTCAACACATGCCACCCCTACCACTATTAGTGAAGCGTGATTACGGTCAACACATGTTCAAAGCATGCCACACCTACCACTGTGCCACCCCTACCACTATTAGTGAAGCGTGATTACGGTCAACACATGCCACCCCTACCACTATTAGTGAAGCGTGATTACGGTCAACACATGCCACGCCTACCACTGTACGTGAACAGTGATGAGGGTCAAAACATGCCACGACTCTGACTGTACGTGAAAAGTGATGAAGGTCAACACATGCCACGCCTACCACTGTACGTGAAGAGTGATTAGGGTCAACACATGCCACGCCTACCACTGTACGTGAAGAGTGAGGGTCAACACATGCCACGCCTACCACTGTACGTGAAGAGTGATGAAGGTCAACACATGCCACGCCTACCACTGTACGTGAAGAGTGATGAAGGTCAACACATGCCACGCCTACCACTGTACGTGAAGAGTGATTAGGGTCAACGTCAACGGGAGTACATACAATACAGTACTTGGTGAGAGAGTAGTGTCACCATATGGCACATACTTTACAGTACGTTTTGTTTCTATGTTATCGCATGTCCACAAGTGTATATATGTTAAGTAAAATCAGGGTCAACATTTAGTTACATTTCCGCTACCACACGTGTTTGGTGGTATAAGAATGAATATTCCTGAAAATCTCCTACGATACGTATCCGAGTAAGTAACGGTGAGCCCCAGGTACACGTGGTCCGTTCCACTAAGCTGTCACAAGGCGTAAGGGACCTCAGCTCATCAACGCTAGTGGCGGCCCGATTAATTGAAATAATCGAAGATTGGTCGCAGTGACTAAACGACCAATAATCGAACACAAACAATTCTTTTCACAAGGTTGGTTTTGTGTGTTACATTTCATGAGCACTACAAGCCCATTCCAAAGTCATGATTGAATTTATCTTAAAGAGCCCAAGAACTTTGTGTTCTTAACATACTAGTCATCCTTTAAAGATGTGCAATTTGCAACAACAAAAACACACCAAAGAACTGTATGTTTCTTTCTTTATGTTTTTGTGCAAACAAACACAACCAGGAAAATTTGATAAATGACGCTAACCAATTATTTTCGATGATTGATCGGTTGTAATGAACCAATCATCAATTATGAGATTTTAACCAATTCCCAACACTAATCAACACAGACTGTCATAACGCAGCGATCGTTCTGTGAAACGGGCCCAGGTCTGATAATACAGCAGCGTGGTCTCAGAACAGTATATTTGCTGTTTCACATATATAGTGTCTCCGACTACTGAGCACCCACCACTGGAAACCCATGTTGTGTACTATAGCCACATTCCCATCTTTTAAACTGACATTGGGGCTATGCCAGAATGTCTCAGTTATCTCCCTTCCGTCAATCCAGCGCCATGTCCCGTTGTCCTTGTAACCTCCAAGCCAGTAGTTTTGTTGCTGTACACTGAAATAAACAAAAATGGCAGCGCTGTATGTCGTTTCTCGTAAAGCCCCACGTACAGACAGTTATAACAACTCAAAGATGAAGATGGATACTGATCGGTACGACAGATGCATCGGTCTTTCTTGAATTGTTCGTCATTGTCCGCTCTCGGCACGCACCTGTCAGCTCTATTTTTGCCAAAGAGTTTGAGCATACATTATTATTAACCACAGAAGTCCTGGGTTTGATTCTTAGATGAGTACAATGTGTGAATCCTACTTCTGCTCTCCTTGCTTGAATACTGACTCTTATATTTCGTAATCTGACGATACCTATACATGTATTTTTAACAAGTTTATAAAGTCTCCATTTTTTTACATCAACAGTGTATGCAAGCACCTCGTAGCTTTATAGTCAGTGCCCTGCCAAGCAACGTTAAAAAGGATTGGATAAGAACTCTAATAAGAAGGCCACATACACAGTGGTACTAGTCAAGTCAAGGCTCTATTTCAACACTGAATCCACACCCACACTTTCATCTACCTTTGGACAGTCCTCAGTTGTAATACACAAACAGCTGGAGGTATAACAACAGCGCGGGTTGTTTCCTTTTGTACCTCAGTTTAAATAATGTCAGGGTTTCACGGATGGCACAGTCTCGTCTTAATCGCTCTGTGGAGTTGCGTCCCTTAGGCAGGACCTGTGATCGCTGGTTCTAATCCCGGTCGTAATAGGCATATTACCAGGAGATGACCCATGCAGCCGAGCCCTATGGTGGTGGATCAGTGGTGGTGTCTGACTGCGCGTTGGATCTCATTAAAGTTCCTTGGACACTCCATGGCCAACAATATCAACAGGATAACTGGATCTCGCCGTCGTGCCACATTTTGACAACCATCTATGGGTCTTTATGGATTTGTGGATGACAACACCTGACCTTTACCATTATTATAATCTCACAGGCACTTTTGTTTTCCCTCGATCATAGGATGTCAATCTCAACGGCACTTCGTATTATCAATCTCAACTCCCTGGGGATCATACAACTCTTGCAGCCACTAGGCGCACCGAGTTAATGTGGCTTTCCCATCTTAACGAGGTACCCATTCACTGCTGGGTGGACTGGGACACATAGTCACAGTACATTGTCCAAGTTTACTGCACGTTGTTGTACCCACAACTAGGTGTTGGCACGTATTTATGTGGCCACCATCTGGTCATTTATCAACGGATTCGTGGGTTCTTTTAAGTGCACAGGGTTGTGTACTGTACACTAGGGGTTGTGACAACACTGAAAGAGTCTGCACACAAAGTTGACTCCAAGGCTTTTACACCCGGTCACTGGTGGGCTCGATCCCGGCACCTCAATCTCGCTGGATCACTAGCCTGGCGCCTTCGAAAACTCGCCCACCACGCCCCCTTTACCATTCTCCTGATGCCATCCCCCCTCATTGAAACTGATTGGGGTTGGGGAATGTAGTTGTCAGGATGTTTGATTTCCCGTCCCAACCGTCAGTTTTAAGGAAATATTTCGATTAAACGGATTTAAAAGAGAACTCCATCAAACATTACTCGGACTATCTTATCCGTCAAGTTGGAGCTAGAGATCTTTCTGTTCACAATTTGTAGAAACTGCCGTTGGCACTCCACTAGGAATGGTAGAACATTCCGATGCTTGATTCGGTGCTTAATTGCCGGGGTACCCGATTGTCGGTATGAGGAGGAGACTGGTGCTATCCCTACAGGATTGGTTACATTGGTTGGTTGGTGGCGTAGTCATGGTGACCACACTTCCGGCATCGTTGGTATTATTGTATATTCCTCTCAAATAGTAAGTAATCTGTAAAGACAATTTCAACTTCAGTCCAAGTCCAATATGTTAGAGCTACCATTGTACACGCTTCAAAAAACTAGAAAGGCACAGGCTTTTTCAGCAGTTAATTTCTATATATTTTGACAGCAATCGTCTTCAATCGTTGAATATGTTTGAATCCCATGAATCATGTTGTTGTGGTTGTTGTGTATTACGCGCAAACGCATCCCAAAATGTGTTTGTAAACGTTTGTCATAAATAATGAAAGCGATACATGAAAAGTACCTGAAGTTTTCCACGTAATGCCCGTGCAATGTGTCGGAAGCGTGAGTGGAGACATCGACTATAAGAGGCCTAACCAATTTCATCATTTCAGTGCGAAATTAACGAAGAAGTAAAATGTTGACATTGAATGCTACTGACGGAAATATCGCCATTGGACGTTTGGAAGAAGGGGAGTCCCAGTCTGCCGTTGCAAGACACTTCAACGTCCACCACAGCACCATATTTCGATTATGACATCGATATACCTGCTTCAATTCTACCCAAGAACGTCCCATAAGTGACCACTCCTGCTCAGGACCGATTCAGGCACCTGCCCTGCAAAGGACACTGCAGGACATGTGCCTGGTCTTTAAAGAATTTCCGACCAAACCATCAGAAATCGTCTGAGAGAAGTGGGAATTCGAGCATTTCCACCAGAAGTTGGACCTGTCCTGACACGACTACACCGACAACGACGTGTCCAATGGTGGAACAGGCTAGAGGCATGGGACCTGGGGAACTGGCGACGCGTTTGGTTCAGCGATGAATCGCGTTTCCTCCTACAACGACGGGATCGGTGACAACGCGTCTATCGACGTTGACACGAACGTTTTGCGCCGATCAGGTGGACAGATTTTGACCTCCTCCCACTGTTTAACCGCCAGAGGAAGCAGTTTCAACACGACAACGCTCGACCCCACACAACTCGTGTAACAGGTTCCTATCTCGCCAATGCAAACGTCAGTGTCCTTCCCTGGCCTTCCAAATCGCCTGATCTGAACCCGATCGAACATCTATGGACGTCCTCAGGCACTTGCAGAACTTGCAAATCCGTTTCAGGAGCAATGGCAAAGAATTCGTCAAACAAAAATCCGACGACTTATCCAATAACTCGAGCAGTGACGGCTGCATTGGATGTTGTCACCAGGTACCGACCTGAACGCCCCCTTGTGTCCACACATGTGCAGTGAGTGATCAGAATTAATGCTGACAATGGGAACAATACATATGTCCATCCGTCTGTCGAATTTCCTTCATCTATGTTCAAGCTTAATCGACTTATGTACACTTAAATACGTTCAGTACATTTTCTTATTTGGGCCTGTGGGTTTCTTGTTTTTTGAAGAGTTTAATATGCGGAATATATTTTTCAAAGTATATACAACTTTATCTGGTGTTTTCCTACTGTTATCAATGATTAATGCCCATATGTATTACAGCGATCTTAAACTAAACTACACCTAATGAAGCAATCCACACCTAAAGTGCATAAACTGCCAATATAACTCATAATTGATTAATTATTCTTCAAAAGCAAACGCCACAAATCATTTCTCCAAGTTTCACGAAAAGATAGTGAATGCTGTTTGAGTTCTGATTTGGGAAAGAAACAAGGGCCAGACATAGATAAAGACAGATATAAACAACTGTGTTGTAGAAACAGTGGAAGGGAATTATAGTTTGAACACGTAACCCTGGATCTGTGTGAACACAGATATTATCATTTCTCTCAGTATGAACTAGAGTTACCTTTCAACGTGCGCTCGAATGTATATGATTAGGGAAGAAAACAAATGTAGAAGCGTGTCAGTGATAAAAGGCCACTACAAAGACTACAGGTAGGGGCACTACAGTTTATCACAGCCTCTACGTACACACTTATTAGCAAGTTATTTTGTACACAACATTTGGGTACCTTTGGTACACATGCTTTGTCTCACTAGTTCTGCTTGCTTCTCAGCCGTGTCAATGATCAGAAGCGACGAATTTCTTTCGTTGCACCTCTGTACACATTTCGTCCAGTAATCGGCTCTCCGGTAATGTCGGAAGCACAATTTTGCCACTCTGTTATAGACGTAATTCTTGGGACATTTGTCTGAAATATAATATCACCAATTTTACTTCATATTTGAAGTGATTGAGGTAAATGTGAAGTACAAAGTTAAGATATTATTCCCTTTCAGATCATTAGGAAAATGTGTAATACAACCTTTACCCTGGAGGGCTTCAGGGTCGTTCATTTCAATACATGACTGACATTACGTAACGGTTTGTTTTACTGCAATAATTATTACAATCGAGCATATTACATAAGTTTCAAATTTGTGTTGTATTCCCTGTAATAAAATTAATTTTGTAAGTCATATTTGTCGTCGAACAATATTTGCCATATAATGCAATATATGATACTCCATACTTGTGATCGTGGCTTTCACCAAGATGGTAAACGAGACCAACATCACTTCCACATCCAACTGAGACGCTGTGACTGAAATATTGCTCCAGGCAACATCGAAACGAGCACACTCAATGCACTGAACCTTTGACGTTCCGGCGGACGATCGACACGAACGTTTTGTGCAGGATACTAATTATAGTTAAGAGTGAAATTGTAAATTTAGTTAGTCATAGAAATATACCTGAACTGTAATGCTTCATGTAAGGTTGAACTCACCTGTAAACAGCGTACGGTACCTCCGCCCTTGTTGTGATTCTCCTCTATTCATATTAGGTTCATCTCACCTGTAAACGGCTTGAAGTACCTCCACCCTTGTTTTGATTTACCTCAGAGTATATTCATATTAGCTTCAACTCACCTGTAAACAGCTTGAAGTACCTCCATCCCTCTTGTGATACACCCATATTCATGTTGTAGAAGTGTACGGAGTGGAGGAGACATCTGCCGGTGAGGATGTTGTAGGCGATGGCGACACAGCGAACGTCTTTGTGACAGAAGGAGGCACAGGCTCCCATGTGGGGAAGTCCAGTGAGATCTGTGACGACATAGCGTTCATCAAGCCTATTGTCAAAGCTAACGCTTCGAACCATTTTGACTGTTACACCTTGGACACTGAACACTAAACAAGAACACAACACTGCTACAAGAAGACACATCCTGATCCTGTCTAACATTGAAAGCTTCGTCTGTTCAGTACAAAACAATCCCTTCTTAACTAACTGTGATATCGACTACACCAGCATTGGTTATGGTTACAATCAACAATTGCAGTTAATATTGATTTTACACATGTTTCATGACAAATGAGTTCACGGTCTATGACCAGACAAATCTCCTATTAGTTTGAATACTAAACTAATAAATCCCAGCTTGGTATTGATGCGGTGAACTCAATTACTGCTTACTTGTATTGTTCGCACGAAAGAGATGACGAGTGACTCAGTGCTGTTGTCTGTTGGTGAAGGTGTTTGGTTTGTTGCTTGGTTTGTTGTTTAAACGCCACACCCAACAATATCCCACCTCTGTGAATAATCGAGTCAGGACTACACAATCCAGTGATCATTATGAGCATCGATTGGGATTGGGATACAATGACATGTGTCAACCATGTCAGCGAGCCTGACCACCCGATCCCGTTAGTTACCTCTTACGATTCTAACCCGGATCTTCACAGGTCCCGTTGATGAAGAACAGCAATAACCACAAACGGAAGCCAAGCCAAGAACTCATCGGAGCTCCCCTCTCCTGGGCGTACGTGTCTTGTGATAGTACAATTACTATTGTCATTATATCAACAGAACATGGTACTGTGACCATGCTAAAAGCCATTCTTGTATCAAGCAAATAGAAATATATGTGCACACTAAATTGTTGTTTTTTACAAAGTTATGTGTGCTTTTGTTTAACGACTGAATACAGATCTAGTAGTCAAATACAATCTAATGAAACTTATTACCCGTTATGCACCATGTACGACTACAGAGAGATCAGGGACTCTGTGACCCCTTATTATAATAATAATAATAATAATAATAATAATAATGTCTATTTATATTGCGCTCGGTTCCATCCACAGAGGTGCATGCTCAAGGCGCTACAATAGTCACAGATGAGAAGTTCACGGGAGGAGATAGTTCGTGGGGATAGAACTTTCTAAAGAGAAAGGTTTTTAGGTTGGTTTTGAATGTTTCAAGGGTGGGGGATTCTTTAATGTTCTGAGGTAGTGGGTTCCATAACTGAGGTGCTGCTACTTGAAACGATCTGTTGCCGTAGGATTTTAGTCTTGCGTTTGGTACTGCAAGTAGGCATTGGTTTTCAGAGCTTAGACGTCGTGAAGGCGGGTATGGTGAGATCAGTTCTGATAGATAGCTCGGTGCTGTACCATTCAAACAGTGGTAGGCAAAACACAAGATCTTGAAGTGGATCCGGGCTTCTATTGATAGCCAGTGTAGGGACATCAATACCGGTGTTATGTGGCATCTCTTTGGTGCACGACTCACAATACGAGCTGCCCTATTTTGTACCTTCTGGAGTTTGTTCAGCAGATCCTTACTCAAAACATACAACAGACTGTTGCTGTAGTCAATGCGGGACATCACAAGTTGTTGGACTAGTGTCTTTGTTACGTCTTTGGTAATAAGATGGCGGATATTACCAATACTTCTTAGATGGAAGTAGCAGGTCTGGCACACTTGATTAACTTGGGCTTCCATTGACAAGGGAGAATCAAAGATGACACCCAGGTTCTTTGCTTTGTCGGCGAATGGGTATGAATGAGTCTCCCACAGCCACTGACGTGATATTCAACTGTTTGATGCGCTGTCTGGGTCCACCGAGTAAGGCCTCAGTTTTTCCATCATTCAGTTTTAATCTGTTTGACGCCATCCATGTTTTTATTGATTTAGTGCAATCAGTAGTTCTTGCAAGTGCACCGACTGCTCGCTTGCTTTGAAACCTTGATATAGCTGGGTGTCGTCAGCATATGCATGGTGGTTCAGCCCATACTGTCTGAGGCTGGAGCTGAGACTACTTCTGTACAGCACAAACAGGACTGGACCTAGCACAGATCCTTGGGAACCCCACAGGGTAGCGCGATACTTTCAGATTTAGTAACACCAAGCATAACTGACTGGCGTCTGTTGCTCAAATTAACTGATGTGCAAAAGAAAGTACACAGGTTGTGTTTCTTCCAATAAGATAAATATAACAAAACCTTTTGATGAAATGGAAAATGTATGTTGAAGCACACTGCAATACACGTGTTTTATCAGCAAAATGACATTGTAACAATAAACAGCGATGTAGTGATGACCACTGCAGACGGTTCCTACGATGCTGGAAGGTCAAGGCCATTCCACGCAACGGTCAGTAGGCCCATACATGCCAGCAGGACGAAGTCGTCTTGCCACTGTGAATCGGCTTACGCGATGACCCAATGATGTGGCTGCTGATGACGTCACCGTCAACATCCAGTTTCGTAGGTGAATAACCCACAGATAGCGATCCTCTTGGGGTGTTGTGACTCTGGAACGTCCACTTCTGGGTCGATCACATGTCTGGCCTGTCGTACTGAAACGGTTAAACAGCCGAATTATGGTTTGTCTTGTTCAACCCAATGTCCTTGCAATATCGCTGTTGAAAGCACCCATTTGTGTCATTCCTTTGGCCCGTTCTCGTTGCGCCGACGTCAATCTTGGCATTTCCTCGTGAGATTTCTGTCTAGTGATTGTTCAGTCTTCACGACAAACAGGTTTTATACTCTCTGTCAGAAAAGTGCATGGGACAATAATCACAATTTTGCAAAAATTCGTGCAAAACACGTACAAATGTTTTTGGTTGCTTTTTGGCAAATGAAACATGATGGTTGCGTTCTATACAATCAATGTTTTTCAATAATTTTATTAGTTAGAACGCATATTTGGGATTGCAACAACAATTACACCTGTGTACTTTCTTTTGCTCGTCAGTTTATGAGCGTATCCATAAAGGTGGTATTCCTGATATACCCACTTCCTGTCGTAGTCGTACTGTAAGTATACCGTGGTCAACAGTATCAAAGGCTGCCGACAGATAGAGCAGGATAAGAGATCCAATGGAACCTTGTCCACATAGCTCCGCAGATCATTCGTAACCCTGAGTAGAGCACTCTCTGTGCTATGGTTCGGACGATATGCGGACTGGAACTTGTTCACCAGGTTGTTCTCATAAAGGTGCTTTGCCAGGTGAAGGTCAAAAGCACTCTCCAGAATTTTGGACATGAAGGTGAGGTTTGAGACTGGCCGGTAGTTTGCAAGGCATTGCACATCTAAAGTCTTCTTTTTATTGTGTGGTCTTATCAGTGTCAGTTTATATATATTTGGGAATGTATCAGTGGCTAGACTGATATTCACGATCCTTGTGATCACAGGCAGAAGTACATCTAAATACTTCATAAGTAATTTTGTAGGAATAGGGTCCAGCGCACATGTAGTGGGTTTTGATTTTCCAATATACCTTGACAATGTCTTCCACAGTGACCGGTTGAAGTGTAAATCTGAGATCTCCAGGCAATGTAGAATCTGTTGTGTCGCTAGTTTCACTATCCACATTATCGAATTCCTCTTTGATTTTGTTTATCTTGTCCGTAAAATAGACACAAAAGTTGTGTGCTGTTGCTGTTGGCTGATTAGGCTACTCCTGCTCTCGACCTTATAATCCGGACATCCCGCTTCCAAGCTGCGCGAACCTATTCACTGCGCATGCGCTATGACCGCAGCCGAGCACAGCGCAGACAGCTGTTGTTCCACTTTTCACCCCAAGCTGGGGTGAATTTTGTGAATCGTTTGAACTCCGATTTCGCGGGGTTTTTTCATCGCGTTATTTTTCAACTTTATAAGATGAATTTGCATTTTTGATGATTTGTATCTGTAAGTCCATACCGAAAAGTATCAGAATCTGCACAGTTGTGTTGCATGTGACCTTTAAATCAATGCACTAGGAGCTAATAATGTTGCTAGTCACTTAGAATACAAATATATTTAATGATATACCCGATAAACGTGGTTGAAAACACACTGTTTATCGATAGATATGAAACATTTATAGGTTTGCTTCAGTTTTATTGAAATGATTCACGGGCTGTTTGCACCTCCATCAGCTGGCAGTGTAGATGTGAACTATATACACGAGACATGTGAGTCAATGTAGATGAGAACTATACGCACGAGACATGTGAGTCAATGTAGATGTAAACTATATACACGAAACATGTGTAATGTATATGAGTCAATGTAGATGATGTACACTATATACACGATACATGTGAGTCAATGTAGATGTGAACTATATACACGAGACATGTGAGTCAATGTAGATGTAAATATACACGAGACATGTAGATGTGTCAACACGAGAGTCAATGTAGATGTGAACTATATACACGAGACATGTGAGTCAATGTAGATGTGAACTATATACACGAGACATGTCAATGTAGAGAACTATATACACGAGATATGAGTCAATGTAGATGTGAACTATATACACGAGACATGTAGTCAACTATGAATATACACGAGACATGTGAGTCAATGTAGATGTAAACTATATACACGAGACATGTGAGTCAATGTAGTTCTGTGCAGCGTGAGATGTGAACTATATACACATGTGAGTCAATGTAGATGTAAACTACATACACGAGCTATGTGAGTCAATGTAGATGTAAACTATATATACGAGACATGTGAGTCAATGTAGATGTAAACTATATACACGAGACATGTGAGTCCATGTAGATGTAAACTATATACACGAGACATGTGAGTCAATGTAGATGTAAACTATATACACGAGACATGTGAGTCAGTTTAGATGTAAACTATATACACGAGATATGTGAGTCAATGCGCAGGCATGCTATATACAAGTGAATGTTTTCCCGAATGTTACTTATGGGACAAGGTGTTTGCCAGGTATGTCCAGGAAGGTCAATGTGCACCTTAATTTCAGTGAATACGGAAGAACAACATCCCAACTATCTTAACTTTCCCATAGAAGTGGCTGTTTGTGGTCCTGTGCGTTGAAGTTGGATGGGTGACCGTGTTTGGCAGCTTGTTCACCTAATGACTGAATTTCTAGTGAATTCCACTATATATGTTATATTTGACTCCTAAGAGTTTCTAGGACTTCAGTCCTGGCCCACAGGGAAGCACATGCGATACATGTGGTCTCGCCTAAGGCAAGTGAGTTTTTTTTCAACATTGCCTCTGTTCACCCATCAGAAAATGGTACCCGATGTGATTATAACCTTCTAGCGATACAGGTAGCTTGGGTTATGCTGGATAAAAATGAACTGTCAACTTTGTGACGCGTCGTTGAATAGCTTCGAGTTGGATACCAGGCACCATAGAAATCCATTGTAAATAAAAAAATAAATATCTTATTATGTTGTTGTCCCAAGCGTGAACATGTTGTTCAACACATCAGTATGAGGCGTCAATCTTTGCTGTACACTTAGAATGTTCTGCAACACATGTTCAGACACTAAAATATTCCTAGCATTACTCATCATCTAAAAAGTCTTAACATCAACGGCCCGTGAAGATCCTGCATAGAACTGGTCTTGCCACGCTTGTCACCCACATCAATTACTGCATGTTTCCAGGGTTGTTTGTGCAGATCAATGATACGATGGTGCAATTCGAATGCTCTTGGTATGGTCCAATGTTCGTATGTTTATCAGTAAAACATTCTTGCCGCAGTATTTTGGACCAGGGCCAGCTTAGTAACGAGAAAGTTTGCAACAAGGAAGGTAGCTTATTTAGCTTTCAGGAACATAACAACACTATCAAAACGGGGACCACAAGGGTTTATTTCATATGGACATGGAAAGGGTTTTGTCGCTTCTATTCTTTTCACACCTACTATCAGTTTAGGGATTGAGTCAGTCAAAGATTTTCCTGTCTGCCGCGTTGACACATGAACCACTTTTTACCCGATACGGCAATAAATGGACCTTGTGTCGGTGTCATGTGATCATTCCCACGGTCAGTGGTATGTAAGTTTGAGTATGAAACACGTGCCAGGCCAAAACAGTGCGACTGAATGGGGATTCTTTGTCCGAACTGTTGTTCCTTTATGGCTGAATCTTGTCCTTTAGTGCTGTTCTTTCATGAAGACAATATTTTGCATCAGAGTACCCCTACTCGTTCGTGAAGACTACACCTTGCATCACAGTACCCCTAATGTTTTGTGAAGACAATACCTTGTTCATAGTACCCTAATGTTTCGTGAAGACAATACCTTGTTCATAGTACCCTAATGTTTCGTGAAGACAACACCTTGTTCATAGTACGCCTAATGTTTCGTGAAGACAATACCTTGTTCATAGTACCCCTAATGTTTCGTGAAGACAATGCGTTGTTCATAGTACCCCTAATGTTTCGTGAAGACAATATCTTGTTCATAGTACCCTAATGTTTCGTGAAGACAATATCTTGTTCATAGTACCCTAATGTTTCGTGAAGACAATGCGTTGTTCATAGTACCCTAATGTTTCGTGAAGACAATACCTTGTTCATAGTACCCTAATGTTTCATGAAGACAATATCTTGTTCATAGTACCCTAATGTTTCGTGAAGACAATGCGTTGTTCATAGTACCCTAATGTTTCGTGAAGACAATACCTTGTTCATAGTACCCTAATGTTTCATGAAGACAATATCTTGTTCATAGTACCCTAATGTTTCGTGAAGACAATATCTTGTTCATAGTACCTAATGTTTCTAATGTCATTCGAAGACAATGCCTTGTTCAAGACAATGTTTCGTTGTTCATAGTACCCTAATGTTTCGTGAAGACAATATCCTTGTTCATAGTACCCTAATGTTTCGTGAAGACAATGCGTTGTTCATAGTACCCCTTGTTTCGTCAATGTTCATAGTACCCAATATCTTGTTCATAGTAACCCTAATGTTTCGTGAAGACAATATCTTGTTCATAGTACCCTAATGTTTCGTGAAGACAATATCTTGTTCATAGTACCCCTAATGTTTCGTGAAGACAATACCTTGTTCATAGTACCCTAATGTTTCGTGAAGACAATAGTACCCTTGTTCATGCGTTGTTCATAGTACCCTAATGTTTCTGAAGACAATACCTTGTTCATAGTACCCCTAATGTTTCGTGAAGACAATATCTTGTTCATAGTACCCTAATGTTTCGTGAAGACAATGCGTTGTTCATAGTACCCTAATGTTTCGTGAAGACAATACCTTGTTCATAGTACCCCTAATGTTTCGTGAAGACAATACCTTGTTCATAGTACCCCTAATGTTTCGTGAAGACAATGCGTTGTTCATAGTAACCTAATATTTCGTGAAGATAATGCGTTGTTCATAGTACCCTAATGTTTCGTGAAGGCAATATTTTGCATCACAGTACGCCTACTCGTTCGTGAAGACAATGCGTTGTTCATAGTACCCTAATGTTTCGTGAAGACAATTTTTTGCATCACAGTACCCCTACTCGTTCGTGAAGACAATGCGTTGTTCATAGTACCCTAATGTTTCGGGAAGACAATGCGTTGTTCATAGTCCCCTAATGTTTCGGGAAGACACCTTGTTCGTAGTATCCCTATCGTTTTGTGAAGACCTTGTTCAAGCAGCCTTCATGTCCTTGTCATGTGTATGGGACATCAAGAAACTAAACGGAATTACATACATCCTTACCTCTCCTCTCACGTATCACAGATGAGTATGTCAAGTTTTCAATTTTGTTGAGAATAACGCATCGCATCATCTTGTTGAAACCTTTTTGAAAACATGTGACACTTTGAAGTAACTCCAGCAAGACATAATATGCTGATTCCAGCAATTTGGTGATTTTGCATCACGACAAGTAACAACTCTAAACTTCATGTACATAACAACTTTCTGGAACATCCTGCATATAGAAACCTGGCGCACTATCCTGAGCGTAAGAACTTGACGTGGCATCCTGACAGTAGCAACTGTATGTAACATCCTTAACTTAACACAAGGACCCAACCTCCCGAGTAACATCCCGAATGTAATAAATTTACCTTGGATCCTCACTGGAACAACTTGACCTAGCATTCTGGGACTAAGGACTTAACGTAATATACTCATGCCAATAATGGTTGTCACCATCCTTCCCCCAACCCCAACCCCCACCACACACACCTCACCACCCCATCCCAAATACCCTCTCCAATTAAAGAAATTGAAGGGGGTGACAACCATTATTGGCATGAATATATATTGAACGTGAAAGCATTACCTACTGCCCTGAATGTAACTCGTTCACGTAACATCCTGAATGTAACAACCTGATGTAACACCCAGAACGTTACAACTTGACATTACACGCTGAACGGAACAACTTGACATTACACGCTGAACGTTACAACTTGACATTACACACTGAACGTTACAACTTGACATTACACACTGAACGTGACAACTTGACATTACACGCTGAATGTTTAAACTTGACATTACACGCTGAACGTTACAACTTGACATTACACACTGAACGTTACAACTTGACATTACACGCTGAACGGAACAACTTGACATTACACACTGATAGACAACTTGACATTACACACTGAACGTTACAACTTGACATTACACACTGAACGTTACAACTTGACATTACACGCTGAACGGAACAACTTGACATTACACACTGAACGGAACATCTTGACATTACACACTGAACGTTACAACTTGACATTACACACTGAACGTTACAACTTGACATTACACGCTGAACGGAACAACTTGACATTACACACTGAACGGAACAACTTGACATTACACACTGAACGGAACAACTTGACATTACACACTGAACGTTACAACTTGACATTACACACTGAATGTTACAACTTGACATTACACGCTGAACGTTACAACTTGACATTACACACTGAACGTTACAACTTGACATTACACGCTGAACGGAACATCCTGACTTAACAACCTGAACGTTACAACTTTAGGCAAAGTCACGAAACATTACAATTAAATGCAACCGAATACATGTAACAGGCTGAACAAATTGATGTAACTGCAGACTATCTGTGCTGTTGTTCTCTTTGATATACTACTGGAATGTTGCTGAATTCATAAACGTTCACTCAACCTTTTTCAATTGTGGCTTCGGAAACTTGTGTTCTAGCTGGCAGTTCACGACGCATATAATGATTCTGTTTGACGCTCATGTAACAATGGTCTCTGTTATGTCCAGAACAGGCTGCCATACATTGTTTCGAGCCCTATAAGACTCAGATAAAGAATTTCACCACGCCAGTGTCACATTTATTTGTCGTCGACGATGATGCTGTTGGTTCTTGCCCTAGTTGCCACCGTCACTGCTGACGTCACACATACCACTCTCAAGTCCGGACAGTGCCTCTGTGTCCACGGGGCGGGGGTCAATGCCAGGAACCAACGTAAGACCCACATGCTATCTATAAACTGTTCGTCTTTGGCAGATCTCAATCCATTATCAAGATTACATGTTTCTTATTGTTTATTATTTCTAGAAGAGAAGAGCCCATTTCTGGTGTCCCCCGCCGTGATATTGCTGGAATATTGTTAAAAGCTGCTTAAATCATATTCACTCACTCACTCACTTGAAGAGAAGTGATGAAAGACATAAGGGAATCCATATTGCCAGTATATTTGTGCACGTTAAATTCAAGATACCTTGAGGATTGTTGTTCAAGCAGCAACGAATGGCATGATTCAGAAATCAAGCTTTATTATTTTATCACATGGGAGACACAATTCGTTCATCAAATCAATCCTTTTTGTATAACATAATTGCATTCAGATTCATTCGAATAGAACGGACATGCCTCTTTGATCAGTAACACTGGAACCAAACATTATATATTTATTAAGACTTCATTTGCCTGTGTAACGAACGTTATCAATACGCTCCTTTACTCCACCATCCTTGCACATCACATGCTTTACAATCTGACAAGTGAATGTGGCATAATACCCAACAGGATTAAGGCAAATAGGTTGTAAACCGTCATATCAGTCTGGTTGTACATGCGGATCATTTTTGTATTCTTCATTTGCATGTATAATAAATGTATCTGATTGATTCTTATATAATATGTCAAATGTCTGACAGATGAACACGAATGACTAAAGTGTTAGTCACGAATCTGTTACATATGTACATGAGTGTTTGATGTGTTAACACGTACACGAAGGTCGAATCTGTTACATATGTACATGAGTGTTTAATGTGTTAACACGTACACGAAGGTCGAATCTGTTACATATGTACATGAGTGTTTGATGTGTTAACACGTACACGAAGGTCGAATCTGTTACATATGTACATGAGTGTTTGATGTGTTAACACGTACACGAAGGTCGAGTCTGTTACATATGTACATGAGTGTTTGATGTGTTAACACGTACACGAAGGTCGAATCTGTTACATATGTACATGAGTGTTTGATGTGTTAACACGTACACGAAGGTCGAATCTGTTACATATGTACATGAGTGTTTGATGTGTTAACACGTACACGAAGGTCGAATCTGTTACATATGTACATGAGTGTTTGATGTGTTAACACGTACACGAAGGTCGAATCTGTTACATATGTACATGAGTGTTTGATGTGTTAACACGTACACGAAGGTCGAATCTGTTACATATGTACTTGAGAGTTTGATGTGTTAACACGTCCACGAAGGTCGAATCTGTTACATATGTACTTGAGAGTTTGATGTGTTAACACGTACACGAAGGTCGAATCTGTCATATATGTACATGAGTGTTTGATGTGTTAACACGTACACGAAGGTCGAATCTGTTACATATGTATATGAGTGTTTGATGTGTTAACACGTACACGAAGGTCGAATCTGTTACATATGTACATGAGTGTTTGATGTGTTAACACGTACACGAAGGTCGAATCTGTTACATATGTACTTGAGAGTTTGATGTGTTAACACGTCCACGAAGGTCGAATCTGTTACATATGTACTTGAGAGTTTGATGTGTTAACACGTCCACGAAGGTCGAATCTGTCATATATGTACATGAGTGTTTGATGTGTTAACACGTACACGAAGGTCGAATCTGTTACATATGTATATGAGTGTTTGATGTGTTAACACGTACACGAAGGTCGAATCTGTTACATATGTACATGAGTGTTTGATGTGTTAACACGTACACGAAGGTCGAATCTGTTATATATGTACATGAGTGTTTGATGTGTTAACACGTACACGAAGGTCGAATCTGTTACATATGTACATGAGTGTTTGATGTGTTAACACGTACACGAAGGTCGAATCTGTCATATATGTACATGAGTGTTTGATGTGTTAACACGTACACGAAGGTCGAATCTGTTACATATGTACATGAGTGTCTGACGTTTTATTAATGTCTAGTCCTAAACGGAGACGGGCATTCGAATACACGTGAGGGACTAAACGTTTGACTTTTTCGGTAATTGCAGCGGGAACGTCAGGAACGACTGTGAAGGCGACACTGAACTCTGGGCAATGCTACAAGTTCCACGGCGGGATTCTCACGAAGGGAGCTTATAGGTGGTTCGAGCTTGATGTTAGCGGACAGGTACGGTACAGAGATCCTATCTTTTGTTCACAATGTAAATACAACTAAGTGCGAATATATGTTAAAGCTGGTGATATCAGGGAAGTTGATCACTACGAGGCAAGGGAGTTAACTCACTATACACGTTCGCTTTTCCATCCTGGTTGAACTAAGTGGAAATATAGGAGTTTACATTGGCTGGACTAACGAGACCATGCTCAGTTCCATCAAAATACGCATGACGTAACCGACATCCGGTTCGTAACCAACATGGCGATGGCCATGCGGATGTCAGTCGATTGCAGTATTAACACCTTACTGGCGACTACAGACATTGTCCAAATCTGATTATTTTTATTTTTAAACTATGTGTTCTAGTGATTTGATGCACCTCAGAAGTAGTTTTCAACAGTGTTTGTGACATCGACAACTAGTCTTGAATGAACGTAGCGTAGCAACTATGTTTAAAACAGATGCCGGAGGTATGAGAGATGGATTGATCAGTAGAAGGGACATTGAGGTGGTTTACTCGGAACAGCTCCATGTTACGCGACGATCGAGCCATTGAACGAAACTGGCCTTCTAAGACTTAACTCACTTCCGATAATATGAGGGACATTAGGATAAACTTTAGCAGCACAAGTTTAGCATTGAGGGGGTTTACTAGGAACAGCTCCATGTTACGCGACGATCGAACCATTAAACGACTGAAATAAATGTTTTGGTAATTAAGGTGACTAACTTGTAAGAAAGTAAGATTCTTTATGGATAACAACTTTCTTTATAATATATGATGCGACGTTTCGGTATGATTCTTATACCGTTGCTTGACAACGGTATAAAACGGTATAGTGGCTATTTCTTATACCGTTGCTTGACAACGGTAGAAGAATTCATACCGAAACGTCGCATCATATATAATAAAGAAGTTGTTATCCATGACAAAATCTTACTTTCTTATTACTCACCAACCTAAAATGCCAATCAAACAGATGACTAACATGTAATATAACGTTATTGTGTATACCGGTCTAGATAACAGTCGGCCTCACCTGTATTACGATTCACATATACATACACTGTTTCAGCGCCTGTGGGTGGCTGGGGTGTACTTGAACGTCGGTACAACCACCCAGTGTGGTACGTATCCCTGCATGGCCATTAATATATGTCATTCCACAATATCCTTGCTTTTCAAGGACGTTTCAGAGGCTCCGGCTGAAATTTGGATCACCTATTGGTTTCCCTTTGAATTGTGTATCTGTTCCTAGGACTGGCCATTCGTACAAGCAAGTATTAAACATGGTCTGTCATTTCACAATCCGGGACCTTCATACTGACAGAAAACTACGACACAATACTTTAACGATGCCGTTGCCGATGCCTTTATTGTGACAGAGATACTGTAAATTAATGAATATATTTCGAAGTTTTTTTGTGACACCATGTTCCACAGTGAAGTTATTGGAGGTAACAGGTTGTATTGTGAACTTCCTTGGGGTATTGCGTGGTATTGTGAATCTCTTTAGGGTACATGTTGCATTGTGGAACGCATGGTACACCATTGTGTATTGAGTTGTATTGTGTTGCAATGTGAAGCTGTTAGAGGTACAAGTTTGTATTGTGGAGCGCTTGGTATGTCATGGTTTATTGAATTATATTGGATTGCAATGTGGATCTGTTAGAGGTACAAGGTTGTATTGTTGAGCTCTTGGTATATCGTTGTTTATTGAGTTGCATTGTTTTGCAATGTGAAGCCGTTAGAGGTACAAGGTTGTTTTGTGGAACCCTAGGTACATCATTGTTTATTGAGTTGCATTGGGTTACAATGTGAAGCTGTTAGAGGTACAAGGTTGTATTGTGGAGCTCTTTGAAGTATCTATTTGCATTGCCTGCGTTGTCCAGGTCTATGGGGTACATGATGTTTGAAGCATCATTTGACACTGTGAAGTTCTTTAGGGTGCATCATGCATTCCGTTGTATCGTTAAGCTATTTGTAGTTCATCTTGCGTCGTGAAGCTCTTTGAAGTATCATGTTGCGTCGTGAAGCTCTTTGAAGTATCATGTTGTATCGTGAAGGTTCTTTGGCATACAATGTTGTACTGCGTTGTATTGTTTGGCATAGTATGTTGTACTGCGTTTCCATTGCAAGTAGATCCTTTTCTTTCCATGTTGCAGCGCAAGGTACCAGGTGACACCATGCATTGTGAAGCGCGAGGTTACATATGTTGCATTGTGAAGCTCTTTAATTACATATGTTGCATTGTGAAGCTCTTTAATGTTACATGTTGCATTGTGAAGCTCTTCGAATTTGGTTTGTGTTGTAGCCTCCTCTGGCACCGGCTCAGGGTCGTGCGGAGACACCCAAGTAAAGGCGTGGGCTTGTGAGCTGCTTCAGCTCCACAATTCAGGCAAGATTGAACTGTGGAAAGTTCACCCCTCTGGTGTCCATGACAACGCTTTCTCCTACAACAACATCCGGGACACCTGCAACGGCCATGCTGCAGGCAGATCTAGGTCGGCTTCATATATAGTTATGCAATGCGATCTTTAACCCATGTAAATACATATAATAGTCTGCACTTTCAGTCCTGATATGTCTGTACTGCTATAACAGTCTGTGATCTCTTCCGCATATGCCTGTACTGCTGTAACAGTCTATGGTCTCAGTCATGATATGTCTGTACTGCTGTAACTGTCTGTGGTCTCAGTCCTGATATGTCTGTACTGCTGTAACTGTCTGTGGTCTCAGTCCTGATATGTCTGTACTGCTATAACAGTCTGTGGTCTCAGTCCTGATATGTCTGTACTGCTATAACTGTCTGTGGTCTCAGTCCTGATATGTCTGTACTGCTATAACTGTCTGTGGTCTCAGTCCTGATATGTCTGTACTGCTATAACAGTCTGTGGTCTCTTCCGCATATGCCTGTACTGCTGTAACAGTCTGTGGTCTCAGTCCTGATATGTCTGTACTGCTATAACTGTCTGTGGTCTCAGTCCTGATATGTCTGTACTGCTATAACTGTCTGTGGTCTCAGTCCTGATATGTCTGTACTGCTATAACTGTCTGTGGTCTCAGTCCTGATATGTCTGTACTGCTATAACTGTCTGTGGTCTCAGTCCCTGATATGTCTGTACTGCTATAACAGTCTGTGATCTCAGTCCCTGATATGTCTGTACTGCTATAACAGTCTGTGATCTCTTCCGCATATGTCTGTACTGCTGTAACAGTCTGTGGTCTCAGTCCTGATATGTCTGTACTGCTATAACTGTCTGTGGTCTCAGTCCTGATATGTCTGTACTGCTGTAACTGTCTGTGATCTCTTCCGCATATGTCTGTACTGCTGTAAGTGTCTGTGATCTCTTCCGCATATGTCTGTACTGCTGTAACTGTCTGTAGTCTCAGTCCTGGTATGTCTGTACTGCTATAACAGTCTGTGATCTCTTCCGCATATGTCCGTACTGCTGTAAGTGTCTGTGATCTCTTCCACATATGTCTGTACTGCTGTAAGTGTCTGTGATCTCTTCCGCATATGTCTGTACTGATGTAAGTGTCTGTGATCTCTTCCACATATGTCTGTACTGATGTAACTGTCTGTGATCTGTTCCGCATATGCCCGTACTGCTATAACTGTCTGTGATCTCTTCCGCATATGTCCGTACTGCTATAACTGTCTGTGATCTCTTCCGCATATGTCTGTACTGCTGTAACTCTCTGTGGTCTCTTCTGCATTTGTCTGTACTGCTGTAACTGTCTGTGGTCTCAGTCCTGATATGTCTGTACTGCTAAAACAGTCTATGATCTCTTCCGAATATGTCTGGACCGTATATATGACAATCTTTCAGCTACTCCTGCAATGGCTGCTCAGCTCCTGGTGGCACCATCTGCCTCAACCACGACCTCGTCCACTATCTCATCACTCTGGCGAGGAAAGGATACATACATGTAAGGATACATTGTCTTTCTCAAGCAATATAATAACGTGCTGTCGTGTTGAAACACTTCCCCTCCAACTTTTAGACTTCATACTACTATCATTTTTGTGTAGAGTTGTGTTGTTACAGACAAGCTTGTGCTAACACAGGGATTGTGGTGCGGTTAAATGCCGCTTTCACCAACATTATCAAGAACATCATGTCGTACGTCATGACATCACTATGATACATAATACCTGCTCCAACACCAGTTCTGATAGTTTGTGGCTACATTGGTTCTACAAGAACATCAGGACATCCCACATTACACCACATGCAGCTCGTGGTTCTACGACCACCGGACTCTCAGCATAAACTTAAAACCTATGGCTACAAGGCCTTCAGCACAGTTGGACCTCGACTGTGGAATATCGTAATGCATGTTTGTGTCCCTTAGCCGTGTCAGGATCCGATTTGGCATTGAATAAAAATCGGAACCCGATCTTTATCACGAACCAAGAAATTGCCGCTGATGGTTGGTTTAAAGACGGCGGTAAAAGGTTAAGTTGGTTGGTTTGTTGTTTAACGCCGCACTCATCAATATTCCAGCAATGTGGTTGCGATATGTAAGTAATCAAGTCTGGACCAGACAATCCAGTGATCAACAGCAGGAGCAGTGAGCAGTAATACGATGACGTGTGTCAACCAAGTCAGCGAGCCTGACCACCCGATCCCGTTGGTCGCTTCTTACAAAAGCATGGGTTACTGAAGATCAGTTCGGATCTTGACGGGTTAGATGATTAAGGCCTACGTGCGACTTATTACTCTCACATACCGATGTATAACTGTTCAGCAGAGTGTGTATTCAACCCTCTTCCCCAGTCGCTCCATCTTTAGAGTTTCTGTAGTCTCATGAAGCAAATTGCTAATAAATATTTTTTCGTAATTGTTTTTAATTGAATGAAATATCTTATAGTGTCATCCAGCATATCCCAACCATTCACTGATAATGGCAAAATTGATTTTATATACTGAACCGCAAAAGAAACGTCACCTACCAAACATTTTGCCAGATATGTTTCTTCTGAATGTTAATTAGTTTTTCATTATTTATATTTTAGCTAGACCTGGTTCGTAGCCAATGTTCAAGAAAATTTGGTTTCAGATGCTGTATTTGATACAAAAAATATGTCGTCGAAACGCAGTTACTAAAGTAATGATGGGACGAGGTTTTTGTGCGTATTTCATGAAAATAATGCACGTGCATCCCGAAGTGTCATCCCTATAAGAAGAAGAACCACCGAACATGCACCGAATCATTCCCTGTTCGACAGTAGCGACATGCCACGATTATCAAAGGAACAGAGGTACCAAGCTTTAGGAAGACTTAATGTTGGCCAGACTGCAAGACAGGTTGCAAATCATTTCTCTGTTCATGTATGTAACAATATACCGCCTGCAGCAACGAGTCCAAGCCACTGGAAGCACAGACGACCGTCCTCGCAGTGGAAGACCGCCTGTGACAACGTTGAGGCAAAATCGGCAGATTGTCCGTCATCACCTGCAAAATCGTTTCGCTAGGGCTACGGAAACTGCACAGACAACCATTGGCAATCACCAGAGACCAATCAGCGCCGACACAGTGCGGAGGCGTTCAAGGCAGAGAAACGTCAGATGTAGCAGGCCTTACCGGGGTCCGATCCTCACTGTTCGACATCGTCGTGCTCGTCTCCAGTGGGCCACACATCATCGGAATTGGCGAACTGTAGTCTTCTCCGACGAAAGTGAGAGTGTGGTGACGACGCGGGGAGCGTTTTGCAGATGATTGTGTCCTGGAAATAGACTCGTGGGGAGGTCCGAGCATAATGGTGTGGGGTGCTATTGCTCTCAGTCACAAACTAGGCCCTATGGTGTTCCCGAATATTGGTCCTGGTAGAGGAAATGGTGTAACATCTGCTCGCTACATTGATCAAGCGCTGAGACCCTTCGTCGTGCCACATTTTGGTCGTCATGGAAACCACGTCTTCCAGCATGACAACGCGCGTGCCCATACTGCCAGAGCAACTAGAGACTTTCTCCGTCAACACGGCATACAAGCTCTTCAATGGCCTGCCCTCAGTCCAGACTTAAACTCGATAGAACACTTGTGGGACGAGATTCAGAGGAGGCTCAATGATGTGCGACCAAGGCCGACAACTGCAGCTGAACTCTCTCAGGCGTATCACCGAGTATGGGCGCAAGTTCCTATGGCCTTCATCAACCGCCTCATACACTCCATGTACAGACGATGCAACGCTGTTGTCAACGCTCAAGGAGGCCATATACGTTATTGACTGTCGTGCCACCTGTCGTCATTTTGACTTGTCATTCTCTGAAATTCGTCTTTAAGTATTGATTATCAAACATGTCAATTTTGAAATCTTTCCGACAATTATTATGTTATTTACATGTGTTTGAATTAAACTGATTACCAATTTCAAAATGGGAGTGGCGGGTTTTTTTGCGGTTCAGTATATATAAAATCTATATACACGTCATCGTAACCCCAGTTGAGTAGAACACTGCTCATGATGTTGATCACTGGATTGTCTGGTCCATTTATAGAATAATATATATATTATTCAGAAATGAATGACACTGACATAAGTATTATATTGAATCGGATTATTTGTCTTTGTCATCTTTTTAAAGTTATGTTATATAATATGTAATTGATACCGAATCACGATGATAAGCATGATGATGACCTGATGATGAAAAGTGACGGTTAACCTGATGATAAAATGACTGATAAATATGACCATAAACGTAATGATTAACTTGGTTATAATTTCTGTCTCCGACGAATGTTATAATAAAGTGTATGTTTGCATTTCCAAACTATTACATACATTACAATATCCTATTTATGCATTCTCGTCAACCTGAATACTTTTACAGGTCAATGAGATAGCTGGTGCCTGCCACACCTGTAACTCCCGCCATTACAGAGGTCAAGCCGTTGACCTTCACAACGGGTCAAGGTCGAAGGAATTCCTGGATCTTTGCTTTTCTATGAACGGATGGGGGCAGAATGAAGGAGACCATATCCATTGCCAATTCGGATACTGATTATAACATAAATGCATACTTTTATATGTTAACTTTACTATTATGTTTCAATAGCAACAATAAACTACATATATCTTCAAGTTTCACATTCTTTGTTTTTATTTAAGACTCAGATCAAACATGGAATTGTGCATCCCATGCCTGGGGCTAAAACTTCGATGATTGTCGGACCTTATATAATCCAACGCGGGGTTGTAGAGTGAGTGAGTATGGTTTTACTCCTCTTTTGAAAAATTCCAGCAATATTACGGCGGGGAACACAGGAATGGGCTAAACACATTGTAGCCATGTAGGGAATCGAACCCGGGTCCTCAGCGTGACGAGCGGACGGTTTAACCATTAGGCTACCCTATCGTCCTTACGGGCCCGGGGTGGTAGACACATTAGAAACCGGAACAGTTTAAGCATTAGACAAAATGAGAATATATGGGTCCGCCTCTGTACGTGAAAGCTCAAGGGCCCACCACAGCATGGGAGAACTCATTGGTCCATCCTAGTTCTTGAGAACACAACAGACAAACCTTGCTTCTGAAGAAATCGGGGCACTTCAGTACGTGACAACAAGAACTTTTGTTCTTCTGCCCAGTCGTCACCCTTGATAGTACACCTGGTAGTTCTGTATGCGGTTTATGTAAACTCATGCCAATAATGGTTGTCACCCTCCCAACCCCAACCCTCACCTCCCCTAACCCCCTCTCCAATTAAAAAATTGAAGGGGGTGACAGCCATTATTGGCATGAGTATATTTCACTGTATACGTCGTGAATACACGATGGCATGAGTGAGTGAGTGAGTTTAGTTTACGCACTCACCAATATTCCAGCTATATGGCGCCGGTCTGTGAATAATCGAGTCTGGACCAGACAATCCAGTGACCAATAGCATGAGCATCGATCTGCGCAAATGTGTCAACCAAGTCAGCGAGCCTGACCACCCGATCCCGTTAGTCGCCTCTTGCGACAAGCATGGGTTACTGAAGATCAATATTCTAACCCGGACCGTCACGGGTAGAGACAAGCATGGGTTACTGAAGAAAAATATTCTAACCCGGACCGTCACGGGTAGAGACAAGCATGGGTTACTGAAGATCAATATTCTAACCCGGACCGTCACGGGTAGAGACAAGCATGGGTTACTGAAGATCAATATTCTAACCCGGACCGTCACGGGTAGAGACAAGCATGGGTTACTGAAGAAAATATTCTAACCCGGACCGTCACGGGTAGAGACAAGCATGGGTTACTGAAGAAAATATTCTAACCCGGACCGTCACGGGTAGAGACAAGCATGGGTTACTGAAGATCAATATTCTAACCCGGACCGTCACGGGTAGAGACAAGCATGGGTTACTGAAGATCAATATTCTAACCCGGACCGTCACGGGTTACTGAAGAAAATATTCTAACCCGGACCGTCACGGGTAGAGACAAGCATGGGTTACTGAAGATCAATATTCTAACCCGGACCGTCACGGGTAGAGACAAGCATGGGTTACTGAAGATCAATATTCTAACCCGGACCGTCACGGGCCAATGCCATGAGAGACACACAAGCTGAGACTGAAACGAAGATAATTCAACTCCAGTCATCTGGGAGACTGAGATACAAGAGGACGTACGGCGATCTAGACACGAGAATCCAACATGTGAAGATGTGTCACCGGTCAGACAACCATGAAGCAGTATGCCGATGCTGCATCTAACTGTTTGCATCTCTGAATGCATTGCATGTAGCTTCACGCAACATGATTGATGCATTAAAGAAAATCATGAAAAATGGTGGCTGAAAATGTTAACATGTAAATCAATATTATTTTATCTGAAATGTTGTTTCTTTGCACACACATTGTAGATATAGACCATAGCCCTTAAACAAAGGCTCACGCTTCAGTGGCTAATGCTAATTACCTGGCTCGCATCTCTCACCTAGCCATAGTGCAATGTTGTCTTGACAACACCTTTTTGGTTAGACTCTGGCTAAGTGGGAGTAAACTAGGGCTGCGCAATATAACCGGTTTACCGGTATTTACCGGTTCAGACATGAAAACGATACGTATTGCGATACGCTGATCGAAAACCGGTATTTTGACATGGGTCTACTCCCATTTGTGAGAACTCCCAGTTGTGAGACTCCCAGTTATGAGACAGTGGAGTAGGTAATTAACAACGAAAACACACCATACTCCCCTGTCTGATAGAATGGATTCACCCTAGCTAATTACTGATTTGCTATGTAACTGAATCTTGTGGAGGTAACCTAATGAAACTTTATAAGATAAATTGATTAACATACCCAGGTAAATGTCTTTAATAATTAAACACTTTGTGTAGGTAACTTCGTGATCAAAGAGAAATTAATTTACCTACTCAGATTTACTCCGTCTCCGAAACTACAAGCTATAGTTTAAGAAATAACTCTGAAATTTACAGTCGAAATGCCCATTTATGCCAAACCCTTTCTACCCGACACAATAAATTTATGGAATGCCCTACCAAATTCCAAAGAGTCATGCAGTGTCAAAGAATTTTAAAACCTAATTACAAAAACCGAAAACAAGATTTATATTGATCTTAATTATGGCTCTTGTTTTTGTCAAATCGTTCACTGCTGCCTCAGGCTCGGATGTAGCGACCCAGACGCCGATAAGTATAACAGACATTTAATAGACAGTGCATGTTGCTCTTGTGGATAACAACTACCCGTTATAACCTGGATAATTTTTTGAACGGAAACAAAGAATTCACTCCTTGTGTACACCAGAAAATAGTTGAATCCGTCCATGATTATATCATCAAGACACAACCTTCAAATTTTCACAGGGTAATATGGAAATGAACTCAACAACCTTCTCGTGATTGATTTATATTCCTACAATAGCTTGTTAGACACACACAACTGTAAGTCTCTAATTATGACTACTTAGAAAATAGTTGTATTTGAAGTAATCTGTATATATATATATATATATATATATATATGTACTTAAAAATATATTTCATTAGATATTTTATGTTGCATGGTAGCGGTGTTAACATAAGCAGTAATACTTCACCAATCCCAATTCATTTTCATAAATAATAATAAAATATGTTTAAACCAAAATGACTTTCAAACTTCATAATAGTCAATAAAAATGCGTTATCATAATTACATATTCTTCTGAATAAATAAAATATTCAATGAACTATTTCTTCTGTTTAAATATAATCTTTGATAATCTATTTCATTAATCAACTCATCAATGAACTATGCCTCCTGTGGGTACTGGGCTGGGCTGATCCCACTTTCATTGTAGGGATGTGGAAACACCACCTATGTGCACTGAACCATTAATTAATGTGTCTCACAACTGGGAGTTCTCACAAATGGGAGGACACCTTGACATGCATTCGGAAAACTTCGTAACACTCGGAAATCTTCGGATAATTCCGTTTTTTTTAAATTGTTCCTTTCCTTGTTTCATTTGTGCCAAAAATTATTTACATTTTTATTTTGTCATGATTAAAGGTTTTTATTAACGCCTAATCAAGCATTGTGATTTTTTTATAAATCAAGCATTAACTCGATTATACGTATTTTTTGTTAAGGAAAACTTCTTGCTTTCGCATCGCAATTTATCTCAATATGAAATTCCTTGCAATACCCACCCCTAGAGTTAACCGAATACACACTGCCGTGAATAGACAATGCAACAGTATACATAGTATATGATCTGAGTCTTTGATCGTAGAAGTACATCATCAGTATATATAGGAATTGTATTTGTGTATATCTGAGTTTATGTTATTAGTTGTTTTATACCTGTTATATCGTGCACATGATTGTTTCAAGGTGATTTCATTTGCACACCACATCTACATAAAACCTCTGGCCACAGTAGCGTCTTTAGTTGGTAAGCGACTTACGCAGTCCCGGTACATGTGCGTGCGTGCGCGTACACTCGCGTATGTGTCTGTGTGACAGGCAATACATATTCAGTGGTAGAAGTTGTTCCTGGAGACAATTTATTGGCGTAGGAGGTGAATTAAATGTACAGAGTGACTAAGCCCGTTGTCGTTGATTGTGTCACATCGGTTTGTGGCGTTACTCACAGTATCAACCACTGGTTTGTCTGGTCCAGTCTCGATTATGTACATGATGACGAGATATAGGGGGACATTGTTGAGTACGTGTAGCGGATCAGAACTGCATTTGAGCTTCGTTAAAAACTGAGAGTACCAACGAAACTACAAGGGATAGTTTTAAACATCGTGAATCTTAGATAAGATGCCCCGAAGGTCACAGCACTTCAGACAATCCCTTTTGTCGACAGCGTTTATGTCCGCCATGTTGATTTTGTTGCTTTCCGTCCTGCAGTCATCCATACTGGCCCTGGCTGCAATAGAGGGCGTTCCTCTCCAACACGGCGCGTGTGTGTGCGTTACGGAGGGGCTCGTTGATGCATATTCAACACGTGAGTATAATTAGCTGATTCTGTGAATTTATATGCCATGAGAGATTATATAACTCCAGTTGTTGCCGAGACACGAAGGACGTGGGATCAGGCAGGTGGGTCGTGCAACGTTCTAGATAATGGCACGGGAGTGGTATGTCTCTCCGATAGTAGGCTACCCTCCGTGTGTCCAAACCAGGACAATAATATATATTGATCAACAGTAAAACTGCTATATGTGTAAGGGGCAGATGGCGTCATATGACCACACCTTTATTGCAGAAGTCAAATACTATAAAATGTAAATATATCATCAAAATTCATGTTTTTAAGGTGAAATTACAAATCAGGCTCAATCTTGAAGGTGTGTCTACGTATTTATGGTGTAACATGTGATTGTTACATCGTAGTAATTATTTTAAGAGTTCGTTGAAATGAGAATGTGGCGGAAACCTCAAGTAGTATGAAAATGGTGACAGAGGCCTTCAAAAGGCTGAATCTTGAAGGTGTGTCTACGTATTAATGGAAAGATTGCACTTCCCTTATTGATGTAATCTGACCTGCACAACATATAATTATAAACAGGTGCTTGTTAATATATTTATTTGATCCACATATCCAAAACAACACAATCGACAATCCACTTTATTCCATTCTATGGAAGAGTATTAGTGTCACAGTCTAACATATTTTTAACATCTACGCAGATGTTACTTACATCAACGTAGAAGATACGTTCTGAAGTTTGAAGTTAAACCCCAGCTACAGGGTATATAGTTTGAACAAACGCTTGACATAGTTTATACAAATATGTATATAGTTTTGTTAAATGAACATGTGCAAGTTTCTTTTTGTATTTTAACTCTGATGTTTGGCAGCATGTTGGCCAAGTGGTGAATAAAATCATTTAACAAAATGACGACATATGTACAGGATGATTCGATACTAGATGATACCTTTTCCTAAGTAGATTATTGATATTATATAAGTAGGCTTAAGTATCATTTACGTAGATACATTCACTACCAAAATTTTTCTCACCATCTCAATCTCACTCAGCATGGAATTTCTCTCGCTGTTGGTGTAATTGTTACCCTGTTGGTGTAATTGTTACCCTGTTGGTGAAAGTGTTACCCTGTTGGTGTAAGTGTTACCCTGTTGGTGTAATTGTTACCCTGTTGGTGTAAGTGTTACCCTGTTGGTGAAAGTGTTATCCTGTTGGTGTAGAACCTTGTGACAAAGATGCATGTCCAAGTTCCTGATAAATACATTTAGCTCAATTTTCAGTTGGTAAGAACTATCTATAAATTCTGATATAAACGACTGAATATTATCAATGCACTGGTTATCCAAAACATAGCCAAATCCCATTTTAAATAACACAGTCTCAGTTTTGAAGCCCAATTACATTTACCCGGCTCATATCTAACATTAACATGTTATAACCTTTCTTGGGTAAACGTGAGTTTGGCATGGATAGCAGTTTCTACCAGTATGTTATGCAACGCTTATAGGCAAAGATATATACCGGGTATCTCCCACACTCGCCACGAACAACATGTTTTGAAGTTGACGTTTTCACACCAAGAAAATATTTACATGCTTGAACATGAACATTCAATAGCACTGCTAATCTAACATTCAGAATCAAAGTCTAGTCCCCATATTTCAGAACCATACAATACAATTGACATCACTTTACTACCAAAACCCTTGAAGAAAACATCATATGGTAATGGTCTAAGCTTCGACAGACATTTTAAAACACCAAATAATGCTTTTCTAGATTGCAACGATGAACTTATAAACTGCTTATTCCAATTTAGATTCCTAGAAAATACCACACCTAAATATCTATAGGATGAGACACATTCAATAAGATTGCCATCAAAATACCATTTTTCGCCCCTCGAAAGAACTCCGCCGTTTTTAAAGACAACCACTTAGATTTATCTAAATTTACAGTTAAAATATAATAACAGTGACAATACTGTTGTAACACGTTAATTCGATTTTGTAATCCTCCAATAGTGTCAGATATAAGAACGACGTAATAAGAACAGTAATATGAATAGATGAGTCAAGTCTGGATGTAACTGGATGCCAGGATAACATGAACTTTCTATTTCATCAGCAAGATTATTAATGAACAACGAAAATTGCAGGGTGCTTAAAACACATCCCTGGCGCACTCCAACATTACACTCAAACATATCTGAAACTAACAACATACTGCACGATCGCTGCTACAGAAACTCGTGACTGTTCACTTTGTGGCATGGACAATGCCTTCCAGGCTCCATTTTAGAGAAACTGCGAGAAGAGTTGAAAGGGCTGAAATTTACAGAATCGCGACAGTCGTATATCTAAGTTCGCTTATGTTCCAAAACAAACGCGACCACCTTAATAAAGTTTAAGTTTGGGCTCCATTTCACAAAGCGAGCGTAGCGCCAAGATCGTAACTCCCATACTTTAACATAGAATTACGACAGTCGTAGCGCTACGATCGCTTTGTGAAACGGGCCCCTGGACCCAAATATGCAGGACACACAGGTCTAGGCCAGGTAGCTGGTTCCCCATTGTGTGGCGTATGTTTCATGTGAAATCTGTTTCTTCCAGCTGGTTTCGACAGCGAGAGCATCACTTACCTCAGTTTTGGACAATGTCTACGATCAAACGGCCAGAGTTTGGAGATGAACGGAGACTCCTGGTACAGTGTTATGGTCAAGAATGAGGTCAGTCATACTTTCTGTTCCATGCAAAATTCCAAATATCGAATGCTATGAACTTATATATATCTATGGACATTGCGTCAAACAGTGCTGGGTTTATATCCACTGACAGTGTAAGTTCCTTTCCCTGTCTGTGTTCTTAAAGGAAACCATCAAAGCGCCTGTAAAATACCATTTTCAACAGACTACAGCCTGTAACCTCAGTTGTGAGTAAGTTTGGTTTGACGCCGCTTTTAGCAATACTCCAGCAACAACACGGCGGGGGACATTGGAAATGGCCTTCACATATTGTACCCATGTGGAGAAATCGAACCTGAGTCTTCGGCGTGACGAGTCAACGCTTTAACCACTATAGGCTACCCCCTAACCTCAGTAAAGTGAGTGAGTAAGGCTTACGCCGTCAGTGAGTGAGTAAGTTTAGTTTTTAGCAATATTGTAGCTATATCACGGCGGGGGACATCAGATATGGGCTTCACACATTGTACCCATGTGTGGAATCGAACCCGGGTCTTCGGCTTCGCTTTAATCATTAGGCTACCCCGCCGCCCCTTTACGCCGTCAGTATTATGTCGGGTGACAACATCAGTAGGCTAAAGACATTGCACTCATGTACGGAATCCAATCAGACCGGCGTGACGAGCGAACGCTTGAACCAATACGCTACCCTACCGCCCGCACCTGATTGCCATCATTCAGTATGTTGCTCGACCGGCGGTCAGGGTTAGGAATGACGTGTCCTGGTTTGTTTCAGGAAATCACAACTCCCCTGATGTTATGGGTTGCAGGCAGGTTCCTGAAGCAGGGCAACACCTCACAGTGTTCGTAGAGGTGAGTGAAACTGGGCATCCCCTCACAGTGTTCGTACAGGTGAGTGAAGCAGGGCTTCCCCTCACAGTGTTCGTAGAGGTGAGTGAAGTAGGGCATGCCCTCACAGTGTTCGTAGAGGTGAGTGAAGCAGGGCATCCCCTCACAGTGTTCGTAAAGGTGAGTGAAGCAGGGCATGCCCTCACAGTGTTCGTAAAGGGTGAGTGAATCAGGGCATCCCCTCACAGTGTTCTTAGAGGTGAGTGAATCAGGGCATCCCCTCACAGTGTTCTTAGAGGTGAGTGAAGCAGGGCATCCCCTCACAGTGTTCGTACAGGTGAGTGAATCAGGGCATCCCCTCACAGTGTTCGTAGAGGTGAGTGAAGCAAGGCATGCCCTCACAGTGTTCGTACAGGTGAGTGAAGCAGGGCATCCCCTCACAGTGTTCTTACAGGTGAGTGAAGCAGGGCATCCCCTCACAGTGTTCGTACAGGTGAGTGAAGCAGGGCATCCCCTCACAGTGTTCTTAGAGGTGAGTGAGGCAGGGCATCCCCTCGCTGTGTTCTTAGATGTGAGTGAATCAGGGCATCCCCTCACAGTGTTCTTAGAGGTGAGTGAAGCAGGGCATCCCCTCACAGTGTTCTTACAGGTGAGTGAAGCAGGGCATCCCCTCACAGTGTTCTTACAGGTGAGTAAAGCAGGGCATCCCCTCACAGTGTTCTTAGAGGTGAGTGAGGCAGGGCATCCCTTCACAGTGTTCTTAGAGGTGAATGAATCAGGGCATCCCCTCGCTGTGTTCTTAGATGTGAGTGAATCAGGGCATCCCCCCACAGTGTTCTTAGAGGTGAGTGAGTGAAGGAGGCCATCCCCTTGTAGTGTGGTCAGTAGTGAGTGAGTGAAGCATGACATCCCTTTAAGGTGTGTTTAGTGATGAGTTAGGTAATACATCCCCTTACAGTGTGATTAAAAGCGACTTATGCTGGGTGGGTGAGTGAGTCAATTATTGCCAGATGGTCATGTCACGTGGGTTCAAGCACTGAAATGACACACATGAACCATGTCAACCAGAAGCTGTTCCTTGTAGTTTAATTCTGTACTTCTGTTTCAGGCAGCTTCAAGGTTATTGGCGGAACATCTGTCCAGAGTGGACTGATCTCCTGGTCCGTGGCAGTTGGTACACAATATGTCCATATAATCATCTTCACTGGTCCCATTAAATGTCATCATGTAGCGCCGGGTGTTCTGTTGTGCCACACATCCAGACAGACATGGAACATGCTTAGGTGCCATATATAGTTCAAAACAGGGATATATTCAAAAGCGCTTTTGTCCATATTCCGGTCATGTTTCGGCTTAGGAAACGAAACATGGACGTCACTCAGTGTTTCTCTGTGGCAACTTGGATACCTATTTTTCCATCTGCTTCAAGGGTATCTCTGTGGTCTAGTGGATGCAGTGTCTGCTCAGATCGTTCAAGGTGGATCGTTAGCTCCCTGGCTGTCTCAAACCCAATGACATTAAAAGATGGTACTTGTTGTCACCCCGCCTGGTGGTCGGCATCGATAAGATATCACAAGAACCAATCTGCTCCAGTAACTGTACTGCGTCACAAAAGGAGCATGCATGTTAAACTGCGCATGGTCTGGCAGTGGGATAGCAGACCAGTATGATCTGCCACACACACTCCACATTCACTGGCCCGGCTGGGGTCGTTTTGTAAATTTATCACTTTCTCCGACTTGTTAAGCTATAATACACTTTTAAATGATGATTATGGCCAGATAAAAATGTTCATATTAGCAGCTTAATGATGAAACCCGGGTCATGCCGACAATATCTTATTCTCATCTATTTTTGTAATCTTTTGCTTAGGTTTCAACATACAAATCTCGGGCTAGTCAATTATTTTGTGGGCTAGTAACTTGCAGCCATAGTATGCCCGACTGACTAGCGGGCAGTGGGGTAGCCTAGTGGTTAAAGCGTTGGCTCGTCACGCCGAAGGGTTCGAATCCCCACATGGGTACAATGTGTGAAGCCCATTTCTGGTGTCCCCCCGCCGTGATGTTGCTGGAATATTGCTAAAAGCGGCGTAAAACCAAACTCAGTCAGTCAGTCAGTCTAACTCCTCGCAGCTTTCCGACTGTATCACATTGTGGGTTCGGGAACACATTCTACCCGAGGTCCTAGTAACTAATTACGTGAGCACCGGACATAAGCAATACCCCGGGATCGTGGGATTAACCAAAGTTTACGAACTAATGTACATCAGGCTTCTTCCGACATCAAACTGACACCCTGCGAAACAAACATTTAAATGCCACTCACTCACTCAGACTAGGTTCCTCCAAGGGGTACTGCGTAACAAGGAAGCTGAAGGATGGCCCAAACCTTAGTATCTCATACACCTTTCTTCGGCCTGGGGACTAGCTGACTATGGAAGTCCAGCTTCAACCCTTGCACAACTAGGCTGGAATTATGGCGTTATGTTTTGGCCGAACTATCGAGTATATATGCATCTTCCAATCAAAATGGCGCTACCAAGTCGACATACGGTTCATAACAACATGGTGACAGACGTGGACATTTCACTCAAATGTTGGAGCTGTAGAGAACTTACAGAGCTGTGCCTAGGCAGAATTGTTCCGTTTCTTTTCATGTTTCTAAACAAGGTGCTGAGATGATTTGAAGACCTGTTTCATGAAGGTTTGAATATCGATCTGATTGTCTTGACTGGGTAACGTCATGATATTTGAAGTAAATGCAAGTGATGTGAAAGATAGTGCAATCTGGTTGCTCAATTGGACGAACAAAGAAGGGACATAACTCTCACAATAGCCATAGGTGGCACTACGATCGAGCTTCTAAATTTGAGGCTGTTTGGGTTGAAGCTGAAATTTTCGGTCAGTTAGCTCCCTTGCTGCGGGAAAATGCACCTGCCCAAGCATAGGCACACCACATACCTCGGAATCCAATATAAGAACTCTTAAAACTGTACACAGTTTGGTACAAGTGAATCAGCCCAGAGTTTCATATGAAATGTTAGACCATGCGTGGCCATAAGTTGAGGGCTAACGGTATTTTTATATCACATTTTGCAAGATGTAATAGACGAAAAATGTGTGAAAAGATTCAATACTGGCATCCACATCCCAGATAATCATTTAATGGCATTCAATGTACAGTTGCTGCAGCTCTGCATTGAACCCACGTGAGAATATAATCAACAAATACTATGTACGTGCAATTATTTATTTAACCATCTATTTACATTTTTGTACAAAGAAAATATGTTCCTCTTTATAAAAGTGAAATTTGTTGTCACTTCAAAACAAATATATTATTATGGAGACCAATCAACAGACGAGTTTGCATCACGTGATGCTTGAGCGACTGTATTGTTAGAATATTGCCATTATGCCATTTAATATCCTATACAGACTGGATCCATCACGTTTTATTGTTTACAGTTTCCATCACTGGTATGTATAGCATGTAACGGTATTACTTCAGGGAAACCTCGTTTATCCAGTGTCCAGCCTCGATTATCCAGTGTATTCAATCTCCATGACAACTATCGTGGACTCCGTAGCCATCAGTTATTCGTGTCGGAGGTGACGTCATATGACTTATCTCTGTTTTCACTACAACATTCCCAACCTGCAAGAATTCTCATCATCCTATCGATTTACGTGTTGTGTGAAAATACGACAAACCAATCAGAATGCGCGTATGACTTCAACTACCATCCTTCGGGGATAATTTTTGATTTTACATACTCCTTCTGCTAATATTACATAAGATACAGTTGACAGTATTCAGTCATGCTGTATACCAACTTAATTCTGATGTGTTTAAATAGCACTGTAATGTAATATGAACGAAATTTTAAGTGTATCATTTCGAAATATGTTGTAGGTAGTCACACGTGATAATTCTTTCAGCTGTGCCCGTTTGAGCTTAGACGGAACCCAGTCATTAAACCAGCCACGAGCGGGACATGAGGTGCTTTAGCCTCTGGTTTACGTCATGAAAGAACAGCAACATGAGATTTTACAGTTACGTTTTAGCGTCGCGTTGTTCGACAAGGAAAGGGCATAGGAAGTGGCGCCAGTGTGTCCAGAGATTCACACTGACGAATCAAAGACCACATATAATATTTCTGGTTTCCCTGGATGTCGGGGTGTGTACTAAGATCGGATACCACCACCTTACTCTGAGACAGACAACATGGGCTTATACATACACCACAAGCTAGGGTCACAGATGCCCGGGACACTGCTGCCGGTACAACAAAATGAAACTACGTCCCCGGTTGCAACTACTACATTGGCCGGGCACTGAAAGACATGAGGATAGATTCCTATTGGGCAACGTTTTTCGAGTGGTGTTCGCTTACTGGTTTCATATTTTATAGCTGTTTGTAATTGTGATGATTTAGAAAATAAAAATTGTAAAGAGGAATAGCACAGTTTCACTACGACTTGCCCAAATATTTGCAACAATATTGTCAAATTACTATAATAGTAAATAACTTTTCTTGTGTGTCCTCTACTCCTTACAGCGCCTTGTAGGCTGTTGGCATCCTCCGTGTTGGTATGTAGTACACGGAGTCAAAGCTCTCCCTATCTATGTTGGTGCGAAGAGTTCTTGTGCTGCTGTTGTGCAAGGAGAGACTACCCCCGGAGCCGTTTGACGACGTTGAGTTGCTGTTGGTTGGAGACACCTGTTTAGGAGCGCGACGATTATCCTGCTTGTTGCAACACAACATGTACCACTGATCGCGAACCTGCTTCCTTCTTGCTACCAGCATAACGAAAATAAAGAAACCCTGCAGGGAGCTGAGGAAGGTGAAGATGTATTGAAACACGATCCGAGCATCCTCAATCTGCAGGAACCCGAAGATCCACGTCAATCCTGGAAGTATAGGTAATACATGTACACTCACTGGCAAAGAAACTTTGTTATTAACCAACATATTGTGATTTCCTAAATCTGAAAACTCTTACTTGTTGATTGCAATGTTGAAACATAAAACTGGAAAACAGGCTGTAAGAGAGCTATGAGTGAAAACAGGCTGTAAGAGAGCTATGAGTGAAAACAGGCTGTAAGAGAGCTATGAGTGAAAACAGGCTGTAAGAGAGCTATGAGTGAAAACAGGCTGTAAGAGAGCTATGAGTGAAAACAGGCTGTAAGAGAGCTATGAGTGAAAACAGGCTGTAAGAGAGCTATGAGTGAAAACAACTCATAACAAAGAAAAGTGTTGTAATTAACAATTGAATTCTAGAATTTACTAAGCTGGTCGAATCAATACAGAGGTATCACCATGACAGTAGAACGTGCGTGACAGTAGATATTCAGAGGTACTACAATACAAGAGCAGTGATTATACCAATATAGACACTGATGGTAGGCAGAGTATGGTCATCACACACAAAGCTCATCTTGTAGTGACCTGAGATTTAATTGGAGATGAGAGGCAATATACAGGTACCCCACAAGAATAAGATCATGTCTTTTAGTGGCATTTAGAAGTTGTACGTAGAGATATAGAAGATATTTTTATTGATTTAACTTCTTTTCTATTTCCCTCGCAACGTTTCGGGACCACCTAATGATGATAAATTCATGCTAGATCATCATTATCATGCTAGATAATATCTAGCATGAATTTATCATCATTATGTTATTAACACTTCAAGTTTTCAACTTTACTTATACTGTACCACGTCCTAGTCTCAACTGTCAGTTCACCTGATGAAGGTAAGCTGGACCCCGTCTCGCATATCGCAATATACGTATATACGCGCAAAGGGAGCCGGGGACCAGCTTACTGATGAAGGGACCTGGAATGGTCCCGAAACGTTGTGAGGGAAATAAAAAAGAAGTTTAATCCATAAAAATATCTTGCACAAGAATAAGATACTAGAATATTCTACACTAAGGCAGATCTTTCGATAATATTCTTTAGGTCAGAACACTGTGGAAGCCTCTAGAACTCTGTCTAAATATAGCGCAAATTTAAATATATCACACCACTGCCACTTAGGAATTCTACAGGTTCATTGCATTACAGTTGAAACAAACAATTTGTGGTATTTTTGCATTAGTTATGGTAAGTTAAAAATTTCTAATTTTGCTAAAACGGCAGCAGGTTTTACTTTTTAACGAGTTTGAACAGGAAGAGCACATCCAGGTTGAGTTTCTTTATTGAGCCGAATAGTCATTAAGCTACCCTGGTCTGCCTCGGCGAGCGTCGTACTGTCTATATGCACGTAAATCAAGCCGCGAAGCCATATTGCCCATGTCATTGTCAACAATGGATGCAGCCATTTGGTTTCTGTAAACCCTTCCAGTTTCAACCAAACACACGGTGCAACATGTTTGTGTTTGTTTGTTTGGTTAACGCCACACTCAGCAATATTCCAGCTATGTGGCGGCAGTCTATATATAATCGAGTCTGAACCAGACGACCAGTGATCAACATCATGAGCATCGATATACTGTGTAACATGGGATTGTTACATCGAAGTAACTTTTAAGAGTTCCTTGTAACGAAAATGAGGCGGAAACCTACCAAGCAGTATGAAAATGGTGACAGCGGCCTTTAACTGCATCTTGGCTCGTCGTTGTTTTGACTGGGTGCTCCGAAGACCGTCGGGTCGTCGTACAAGGCTGACGAGGATGATGATGAACATGACGATGTTGACGACAACGATGACGCCGACTGGTACAGCAAACGCGAAATAGAAGGCTTCCATCCCCATCCAGCAGCTAGGAGGTAAAGTTACATTGTAGCAATGTTAGTGTTGAAAAAGGCGTAAAGGCGTATAGGAAATCAGCAATAATATTGTTGTGTTAAGACTTAGGAAAACAGAACCAAATAATTATATTTCATAAAAAAAAATATGTAAAAGTATGTAACAATCTAAATGGCAATATCATGTATTTTGGTCAGTTTTATGGTTTCTCTTTTTTTAATTTTTGGGGGGTTACTAGTATGTTTTTGTCTAAGTTGATAACACAGTATTGAGAGTGGAAACACAATGTCAGAATTGTTGGATGCCCTTTCCATCTGACGCCTACATGTTGTAACCAGTGCCAAGTGTGAAACTAAGTCAAGCAGGGACAGCCACTAGGTTGTAGTGATAATACAAGTTATATGACCTCGGTCTGTATATAATCGACTCTGGACCAGACAATCCAGTGATTGGCATCATGGGCGTCGAACAACGCAGCTAGCCAGACTACATACGGCAAGCACGTAATGCTGAAGACCAATTCCGACCTGTATCCTGGAGCGAATCTTGTGACTCGTTAACAAATGGAGACGATGGGTTGTAACTGGTTGAAACAAACGCCAATCGGCTGCCATGTGACCATGGTCTTGTAAAAACCTGAAGGAACTTACTACGACTGTCGCCCTCTGTACATGTTGTAGTCGATAGCGAGCACTGAGATCACCGGTATCAGAGGCAGGCCTGGATATAGAAAGACAGGTGTATAGAAGATAAGGTTCATATATATTCATATATACATAACAACATCAGACATATACTACCCATCAAAAGTTTAGACTCACTTAAAGCATTCACTGTATGTTATGTATATATATGTGGTTCCATCGAAGATGAATTTCTCCCCTAACTTAGGGAACCAACTGCAAACCTTATGCAGATGAATTGCACGAGGATCATGCATCAAATTGCTGAAAAGCATGTGGAAATATCGTGCATGTGAACAGCTGCGTTTTGGTGAAAGGTTTTGTTAAGAATTCGCTAATTTTCACTGAGTTTCATCATTTATTGAACTCATGACAATAATTTTTTCAACGTTACGAATTTGTTTTACAATACATCAGTTCATGTGTAAACAGTACCTTTAAACAGTATGGAATATTTTGCAAAATCTAGTTTAGAACCGTTGACTGAAGTAAGTGGCTACATTAACACTAGTGAGTCTAAACCTTTGATGGGTAGTATATATCTATAATGCATTTCTTTACATACTAATTAAGGGTAATGGGGACTCTGATTCTTACCCCATGCAGGAATGGCGGTTTTGAGCGCATAACGCGTTACATATGTGCCAAGAATCTTGACGAAGGTCATGTACTGCAAGATGGCCTCTATCAGCATCCACAGGAACGACACCAGGATGAAGTAGTGCAGCAAAACCGCCACGGACAGACAGAAGTACTCGTTGTTGGTCTGCTTGATGCCCACGAGGAAGACGACCTTGGAACACAGCAGGGCTACGGCCATGTGGAACAGTGTCAGCTGGGCGCGACCTTGACGTAGTTTCCTGGACAGACAATAGAGTTAACATCTTTAAAAGATCATCCAGTATGTCATGTCATGGGATTAATCATAGGTAGGTATTGATACATGATACATGGAGGTATCACTATGACCTGTACAACCATAAACGACGAGTTATGTTATAGATGTTTATTGCATTTTTTTATATTTTGCCCTAAAATATCGTAATTAGAGCAAATTAGTATAAGACAAAATAGTATGGATGTCAACTTCTTTTTTAATTGTATACACAATGTGTCACCTAACGAAGGGGCAAAGAATAGCCCAGAAACGTTGTGTATACAATAAAAAAAAGTTGACATCTTATATTTTGTTTTTGAATACCAGCTTCTATGTGCCTCCCAAGAACCTAGAATAAATTATATTCGAACCAACGATAAGCAACTACTTGAAAGGCCGAAGAAAGAGATGTAACTTTGAACAGCACTTCGCGGCGCCCAACACTACAGGATCATTTGCACCCCTGGGTGAAAAGTCAAAGGACAGAGTCCAGCGTTACTGACTTGAAGAAGATGAATGTGATGATGGTGAGGGCGAGGCCGAAGATGGAGAGGCTGAGGCCGACCAGGGAGATGATGCTAAGCGTCAGTTCGTGTTCTGGCTCCACAGGCTTGCTGTGTCCGTAGAAGTCCTGAAGAAATGATTGCAAAGTGAGTGAGTGAGTTGGTTCAATACTGCTTTGAACAATGTTTCTACAAGATTAGGTGTGAGATGAAGGACGAAATAAAGATCAAAGGTCGAGGTTGGTAACTACTTTAGCGAAACGCACCGGGAGCTAACAGACCAAAGACTAGGATTCGAACATACGATAAACAGGTCTTATCAAGCTAAAAGTTGTCGTTAAACTTACTATTAGAGCGACATATTCACCAGAACGCCGGTATTGGACAGGTATGAATATGTACTTGACCTGTGGTTGAATAACACTGGACACCGTCCATTAGTCTAATAAGTCACCATGTTTACAGTCATTGGAACTGTTGATCTATTCTACCCTACGTGTCCCTTGTGGCATCTAAGAAAACAAAATATCCGAAGAAGTAATCTACATGCATACAGCATGTGACAATCAGTATCTAACAGTAACTCTGGCCGTATGTAACGAAGATGAGGCCGTATGATCCTACCAGCAGCACAGCGAAGTTGGTCAGATGGTTACACATGCAGATGTCCAGTCCAAACATCGTCCCGTTGTAGTAACACCCTTCTGTCGACCATCCTCCCATACCGTGGTTGTCAAGGAAGTCCCAGAACGCACACTTCGTCGTCTTCAGGTGGTTCCTCGTGTCCTGCAAGACATTGACGATATATTGCAATGAGGAAAATTCAGATTTCGGTTTATACAGATGTTACGTTTCCTTAATTTGAACTACGTATATCAAGGCTTCGTACGAATTCTATTAATATTACACTTCTACATTAGACTTTACATGTGTTCTCCACGTATACCCGTGACACTGTTAATAATTAACTGAATGATTCCCATACTCAATTTCAAACTTAAGAGAGGGCAAGATGGATTCAACCATTTTGTTTTTTATTACGGCGTGTCAGTATAGGCAGCAGGATTTACTAAAATCCACCAACAAATGGTATTAAGCTGACAGTGCAAGACCATATCGGAACAGAACTTGACAGGGGATGCTGAAGAGGGAAGCAACTCCGAACCGTGTTCCAGCGTGTGATCCCTTCTTTGGGGTTAAACTAATACTTTGGCACAGCAACCATTTCCATCATGATTCGTTATATGCAAGGTTTACCATATCAATGCACTTACAACAAAAGGTCTAAAAGCCATCCGAATCATGTCGTTAAGCCCTTCAATCTTCTTGCCTCCCAGTGTAGCGGAAATGACAGCACTGTTGACGAGACCGAGACTGGAGTTGACGACAGGAGTAAAGAGACCCGTTTTCCGGTAGATGAGCATTGAGAGGCGGGTTGTGTTACTCTCGCCTGTAACACAGTCATACAATGAGAGTAGGGAAAACTATTAAACTAATAATTGACAAAATTTTAACAAAGTCTGTGGAATCTGTCCAAAGTGGACTTCTGTAAGACGAAATTAAGTGATCAGTGAGCTAATAGCAGGAGATATAGGTTATAAAGATAAGGTTGACAGAAATATCACAATGTGTCGGGACCGTAAAGAGCGTCCTTTATTTGCAAGAATCCGGATTAGCCGGGTTCGACAGAATTACGTGCATTATTGTTGATGCAGCGGTTAGCAAACTCACAATCAAAGTATGCCATGGTACTGACATGGTCAGCAGTGCCACCCCTTACGGACAGAAATGCAAAGCTGGGGACCTAGTCTTACCGGTCACTATCTGGTGGGATTACTGGTCAAATTATGGAGTCAATCGATATTCCGATTTACAGATGTGGAGGCCAGTGTAACATGGTAAACCTAAGGTTATTTTCCAGTTTGGATGCGTTTAAGGCGCTGATATATTTCAAGCCATGTCACGACGAGCGGCCGCCTACCATGCATGTTCTTGACGACGAGTTCCCGTGGCAGCTCTATGGCCACGTCAAATTCGGCCAGACTGCTGTCCAAGCGGTCTCGGATGGTCAGTATGCGGGGGTTGGTGAGAGGGGAGCTCCAGCTGCCCCCCACAGTGGCTCCAAGACCGATTACTGGAGCCATCCCGGCGTCCAGGTTCCACACCTCCATGGCAACATTAGGAGTCACCAGGCGCATGTTCTTGGCGGTTCCGATGTCGGTCTTCATGCTGAACTTCTCGAGATTCTCAACGATCCTGATTTCAGAAACAACGAATGCTGAATGGTTCATGTTTTTGCATAAACCTTACATTTAAACACAGATTACTTCCATCAAATGCCAAATGTGACATAATACGACTGACGAATTAGATATATGCGTGGAAATGAGGGTATTTTTATTGGTCACGTTAATTATATTGAGCAGATCATTCCCTTTTTAACAGTTTGAATGAATACATATCCGCTAAATTCCATTTTGTAAGCTTTATTTAGTGTAAAAAATCCAGTTATTGCATCTGTGAAGTTGTTCGGGCAGTCAACATAAATATTAAGACTTTTCATTAATCTATCAGTTTCGTATTTCACCCTGGTTTAACATTACATGATGTATTTCATGACATGAACTATTATTTTAGTTAATGGGATCGGGTGGATCATTGGCAAATACCTGGTGGCAGCCCGAGACTTCAGTTGGGCACTTCTAATGGCGGCAGTGTCAGCGTCCAGGATCCTGTTGACTGTGTGAAGAAGTTGGTGACCCATCTGAAACAACAGCATCGTTATACGGAAAGTTACCTAGACGACATCATTGCCATTTATGCGTCCTTCACGGAATCAGACAATTTCCATAAGTGGAACTTCGACTAATGACACATACATATATATAGTTATATAGTTAATGGAAGGGTAAAACACGGCAATATTAAGGAGGAGTTACCTGGCTAGCCGACGGTGCTGTGACCTTCACTATACGGCCAATGACCTCGGCACATGTGTCAATATCGGAATCGGTTAGGTCTGACGTTTTGTCCAGAATCTGCGCCATTTTGTCCGTGACATCCCGGACGTTGCCATCTTCTATTTCAATCTAGGAAATATTATGATCATGTATGTTGTTGTTGAAATTAATGCTAAAAATATATCCACAAAACTTTGAACCACCAAGTGCCTCCGAAATGATCTAAACAATGTGGTCAGTATCCTGTCGTGAACGTTAAAGTCCCAGTATCCCAGTTATAGTACGCACATTTCACATAATACGACAGACAGGTTGTACCAGCTACGCATTACACACTAAAGATACATTGGAATCTCCTTGAAAATTGGAAATATATATCTACACAATAAATGTAATTGATTATAAATACTAAACCAAAACAGAAAAACTGAGCATTGTGCAGAAGGTTGTCTATGCCGACCAAAAATAGAGCAACAAAGCACAATTAGGCTGATGCAAAAAAATGCTTTTGCTTTCTAAAATTGCTCTCCGAATACACACCTCGTCTAAATGTGCCAGATCTTTTGAAGGCATCAACTGAAAACGGGGTAAATGAGAACCCGGTGTTCTGAAAGGATCCGGTTCACTGATGTTGGGCTTCCGGTTCCGTACAATATCATCAGAATCTGTGACCGGAAGTGTGCTAGCAGAGGACCTGTGACAGTCAGTGTCGATTTGCCAGTTCTCCCAGTAAGCGCCCGTTTCGTAGTTGCCCTGGCAATTCGCATAGCCGACAGCCACGCCATCTGAGGCAAATGGACATCACTTTATACACACTAGTACATCAGTTGTGACATTCGTATGTGTCAAGGAATTCAAATTCTAAATACACTGTCATTATTTTATTCAACGCTGGAGTGGCCAATCTATTTTCAGTAAACATACATAAACCCCTTTCGTCCAAACCTAATAGAGAACACTCGTTTTCCGGAATTCTGTTTAATGAATTTATTACCACATCAAACATGACGATCTGGAACAATTGGTTATCTTTAAATTTCGTATATGGTAAGAACATTATTGAAGATAACTCGTAAAGAAAACGCTGTGTATCGCATGGTAAGTAATCAAAATATGCCAAAGTACGTCACAAGTATAAATACGCGTCGTGATAAAGAGTCCAAACGACGTCGCCTACCACAAAGTTCAATGCTGTCCACGTTGTTTCTTATAGCTGTCTGGGGGAACTGGGCACCAAACCCTGTGCTGCTGTCCTCTAGGTAGGCGGGTGGGCAGAAATCTGGGAATGTAGAATGACTATTATGGATGTGTTGTCTCATGAACTTGGATTTCATGTGACTTCGAATTTTGTGACACTGCCTATATAGGTAATAGCCTTCGAGCTACGTTTCCGAGTTGATATGATGAATGACTTAGTCTTCTTGTTACTCATCGTCTTATGTCTCTGAGGGAATTCTAGTTTCTTGACATGGGTTGGCTGAGTTTGCCCGTTGTTGAAACGACGCCACAAAACATATGTTGTTGTGGACCTCTAAACAAACGGGGGCGGTGGGGTAGCCTGGTGGTTAAAGCGTTGGCTCGTCACGCCGAAGGCCCGGGTTCCATTCCCCACATGGGTACAATTTGTGAAGCCCATTTCTGGTGTCCCCCGCCGTGATATTGCTGGAATATTGCTATAAACGGCGTAAAACCATATTCAGTCAGTCTAAACAAACGATAAACTAAGAATGAACATTTAGCATGGAGCGAAAATGATTGTGTTCAGCAAGGACATATAAAGACAATAAATTACATCTGTGATGTTTTAAGTGATCACGTACGGTGTGTATCTAAAAACATGAAATGTAATTTCACTCGAGTGACAGAATACTCTGTGCCGGAACTACTTTCAGTCTCCACCAAAGACAGATGTCCGTGAAGATCAGTAAGACATTAAATAATATGTTGTCAAAAAGCACAAAGACAACCTAGGCATGTTCCGTCATGGTACCGTCACTCGTGGAAATAGGAACTGACGTGAAGTTGCTTCATCAAATGAACATGTCTGACAAGAATGGACAGATCCTTTAGATACATGGTAGGTCATGGAATACAGTGATGTAGTCACCTGTACGTGTCAAGTTGATCGCATCTGTGACGGGAAGAGACAGGTTCCAGTGTTGGCTGATATCACGTGACAGTGGTACCAAGACGGAGTGAAGAGATGTCAGGTAATGGGAGACAACTCTGTCTTTATAGTTGTCTGGTACGTTTCTCACCAGGGATATCTGGATGAAGAAGTCAATGACCCCTGTGTCTGAACTGAAAGTAATCAACATAGCATCAGGTGACTTGACAAATAAAGCGACAAATATCGCAAACACATATGGCGTCTCCTTGCCCAAGTAGAATTCTTCACATATGGATGTTTACCGAGTCGCGAATGGGTACCCGGTAGGATATGATAACGTGACTAGTAACCTGCCGGCGGCTCAGAAGCAGCATTTGCCTGAAGTGATTTGTAACTACTTTATGGAATGAAGCTCACAATGTCAGTATTTGTATACTGAAGCTGTCAGTAAATTATTCTTGCATTGCTCAATATGCTGCACGACTGTACATGACCTCGACACCGCGTGTGGTTGCAACTGACAATGTGACCCCACAGGAATCTATACTGATTACTGTTTCTGGCTGTGATTGTACACGAGTCTATTTCACTCGAGGGAAGTATGTGGCTGTTCATGCCTGCGATTGACTTGTACATCTATACATGCCGGCTTGAGATTGCGTATCACCACATATGACTACTTGTGACTGTGTATGACTACATGACTATTCCTGCCTGTGAATGACTCTAACAACCTACTCAACATGATCCACGTAACTTGCGATGTCTCTCAGGCCTGGGTCCACCATCCTCATGGATCGGGTGATGTTGTTGTTGATGATTGCCATGTAGTTGGCCACGTTAAGAGGGACGTCGACGGCACGGTCCATGTAGTTGAAGGTGACGGAGGTGTTGGTTGGAACGCCGCGTGTCTGCAGGGTGCCATGGAGGGTAATGACGTCTAGAATACACGATGGCATAGAGGTTACAAATAACAGCCGTATACTCATTTTGTTCTTTAGAGCTACAAGAAGATGAGGTCTCTCGAAAGGGAGATCGAGTCATGGATCGATTCAACCTAAATAGTACTGGAATATTTACTTTGCTAACAAAGTGTAATACCAAATATAACATAGTTTACAAGAAAACATAATTTGTATTTTCGTTGTTGTTATTGCAGTTATGGGTAGTAGTGTGCCATTAATGAGGTTAAAATGGAATAGTTGTACTTATGTCAAAAGTATGCGATTAAAGTATACGTTGTAGAAGTTGTAGCAGCGGGGGGAGCCGGTCGTGAATGCGCTAGTTACCTGTGAAGACGACTAGGAACTTGGGCGACTTCACCTTGAGCAGGGGGTTGAGTTGCCAAACTTCGCACCAGTAGTTGCCTTGGAGACGGGAGGGGTGCATCACTCTCCCCCCGGTCCTCTGACTCAGACGCCGAAGGAGGGGCAGGCCTAGCTGCAGTGACCTGGCTCTCTCTGGAATGTCACAAACGACTTAACAAATATATGTACAAATAGAGTCAACAACTTAGGATTGAACAATAGTCATCGTCTTTATGCAAGAAAAGAAAATTAGTTTGGATATATGTTTCTTGTCATTAAATCCAAAATTGAAGCTGTGAAAACCGGTGAACAATGTTCCAGGAAGAATGAGTTTTACGCCCCTTTCACCAATATTCCAGCACTATCACGGCGGGCGAACCAGAAATGGGCTTTACACATTGTACCCATGTGGGAAATCGGACCCGGGACTTCGGTGTGGCGAGTGAACTCCTTAACCACAACGATACCTCACCGCCCGTTCAAGGAAGAGACTTTGCGCAATGGTGCTTGTAACCTTCATAATATGAAGTTAAGTCACACCTCTGAGATCCCATGCTTAGTACTCGATCAAGAACTGTAGTCAGATAACTTTAAAACGTTATTTGCATCATAGAATAAAGGGACCCGATTGCTAGGAGACGATGCTATACGAAGAGCATCCAATGGGCCTACTGACAAAGGAGGCATTTTCAACATCAGCATCATCTTTGTGTTTCGGAACAGTATTTCTATTAGTTGCATTCTAGAAGCAGTTTAAATAAAACGCCTTACGTTGAATTGGAACATTGTTGAAGGTCTGTTGTAGATGTGCGTCGGAGGAGGTTTGTACACGGACGCCATCTTTGAACCACAGGACGTGCTCTTCTGGAGAGGAGGTTTGGATAGGGCAGATGATTGACTGCGGGCTCGTGGAGAGCATGCGCAATAACTGCTTCTGGTTCGACCGGGCCGGTGATATTGGTCTATCAGCTCCTGCAACCGATACAATGTATATAAAATATAATATCTGTCTGTCTGTCTACAATATATATATGTGTTCTGTTGGTGGCTAAAATGAAACAAACAAAAAAATGGGTATTCGATAGTGACGTATTTTATGCAAGTAGGAAACTTCGGCTTGGACCTCAAGATTAGAGTTTTGGATGACTATTTTCAGCCTAGTAACAGTGAATACTCTCTTTAGCCAGGCAGGCGCGATCGCAGCTACACATGTGGACACCAGGACACACCAGTATGACTGACTGACTGACTGAGTTTGGTTTTACGCCGCTTTTAGCAATATTCCAGCAACATCACGGCGGGGGGGACACCAGAAATGGGCTTCACACATTGTGCCCATGTGGTAAATCGAACCCGGGTCTTCGGCGTGACGAGCCAACGCTTTAACCATTAGGCTACCCCACCGCCCCACACACCAGTATGCCTTAAGAATACACTTGTGACGTCACTGCACATTTCCCCAAGATATATGTCTGTGGTGCCTTGTTAATTACAATATGTTCCATGTTAGATGACAGAACAGTGATTAAGTGATTGTATAGTTTGAATGCAGCGTTCACGCATACAATAGGACATTTTGCAAGTTGGAAACGTTAATCGAGACAGTGTCCGAAAGATTACAAACACAATACTTACACCATTTACAAACACAATACATACACCATTTATAACTGACAACTAACAACACTACAGCTGCCAGGTTACAGTAATACTGTATGACTGATGTTACAGAAATATTGCTGAATACTACCCACAATACAAAGACTAAAGATGAGGGTCTCTACCTCTTGAATTGTTGCAACTTACTTCTGACAGACGCCGTTTTCTCGCATACACTAAACATGAGCTTCTCGCATGCCAGCTGAATGACGTCCATGTGGTGAAGGGCGGGGCAGCCGCCGGTGAGGGTGATCTTGTCACGCCCGTTGACGTCCACCCACACTTTGGGGGGAACTGCAGATACAAACAGCCATGTCATTGGTGAAGCGGATCCAAAGGATGTTAAGATGCTGAAGGGCAGAGCAGGACGGAGGGGAGTCCACCTTTCCCCAGGACCTCCTCTATACGTCCCTTTCCAATGTATACTCCTCATAACAAGTTAAGCAACACAAATATCTAGTCTCATTACATTTTCATTTATTGCAATTGCAAATCATTTAATGATACAGTAGAAAGGTGAAACATATGTACACACGATTAACAAAATGGAATGAAATGGTACTTAGCAATAATAGACTTGCAAATCATCAAAGGCATGTACCCGTGAAACAGTCGTGCAAAATGTGCTGCATTGATCGAGCAAAATGTTAACATTAATGTTCAAGTCAGTTTTGGACAGTGAAGCAGTGTTCAGTAACGCGTATGGCCACCATGAGCACAAATGCAGGCTTCTACACGGCTTTGCATTGACCAAATGAACCTAAAAAGTTGTTGTTGTGGAATGTTCTGCCGTTATCTCTGTAACGCCTGCTCGAGGTCATCCAGAGTCTGGGGGTGAACATGGAGACCGTAAACACGACTTCCAATAATGTCCCAAGCATGTTCAATGGGATTAAGGTCAAGTGACCTTGCAGGCCAGTCCATATGTGTGATGTTGTTGATCTAAGCAACATCGTTAACAACTCTTTCTCGAGCATTATCATCCATAAAAATGAAGTTAGGACCCGCTTGTTGTACCAGAGGAATGATTACAGGTAGGTTTACACCGATCAGGGTGCATGTGTGGAGAGTGGAGCACATTCATGCCACACATTTTGCATGTTGTTTCTGAGAGTGGTTGAGTTCGGGTGATGTTGTCACTGTTATCAGATGAATAAATTTGACAGTCACTAAAGGTTATGTATTCTTTGAATATTTACCTTTAGAGTGTTGGCAAAAATCGGGATTGTTAAAGATTAACACTGAAAATACTTGTTGCTTCATTTTCCTGTATATATTCCGTAGTTTTAATGTTGTATTTAATAGTTGATTGTATGGCCATGCTCCCTTTAACTATCATCAGTCCAGTTCGTCAGACGTATGCCCATATTATACCTGCACCAAAAATCTGATGAATACCGGCAATCGTCCGCCAGTCCAGTCCCGCCATCAATCGTCGCCATAGTCCCGCCCTCATCAATACACCTTGCCTTGGCCCGGAAGTGATTCAGCGGAAAGGTCAGCACCTTGTAGCATTTGTCGACAAAGGGATGTCCGACCCAGCCAAACCCACAGAAAGACACTGAAATAGTTACTCTGTACCATGAATCTCAAAATTAAAATGTAGGGACGTTCCATTTATAGACAGTAATCATTTCAAATACATATAGGAAGAAACTATCACATATTATCCGAAATGCTGTTATGGAAGCATCGATTTAGTTTGTTAAAAATCTGATAATCTTCTTTGTTTCTGGTATTCAAAGATCCGCTGAACATGTTCAGGTGCTACCGATAGAACATGGCGATACCCTCTATCGTGATCTTAAAGAGGTTACGAAATAACGGTAATCCGAGATGACTGAATAATACTGACAGGTAAGGCTTTTTTTTAATGGTCTGCTTAATGATTTGCAAATAACGTGAAATAGGTCTACCTTAATTCCCCTTTCAGGAAAACAGGATCATGTACACCTAACGCCCTTGTAACACATCGACTGTGAGGAACTTGTCGCTGACCTTGTATAGTACACCTGACAATGATAGATACAGCTACATCTTGGTACACCCTTGACCTGTTGTGTAAATATGGATCGTTTGGTTTCATGTACTGACCTTGCCGGAGGGCTGTGATGGGCTCGGAGTAGCACACGGAGGGATGTGGGCGGTCACAGATGTCCATGCTCATGTACTGGACAACCTGACCAGTCGGCGGACGCCCAACACTCGATGTTAATCTTTCAGTGTGACCCATAACTCGAACAAGCGTGTCAGGTGATACGGGAGCACTTGTCGTAGTCGATGTTGCTGTTGTTGATGTCGGGTGAGGCAATGACGAAGGAGGAATGGACGTGGTTGATTCTGTTTTTGACGAAGCGTCAGTGGAGGGCAGTGGGGGGTGCGTTACTTTTTCAGTTAATGTTGACAGGTTTAATTTTAGTGTTGTTGGGGTTGTTGCTGTTGTTGCTGATGTTGCTGTTGTAGTTGATGCAGTTGATGTTGCTGTTGTTGCTGATGGTGTTGCTGTCGTTATTGCTGCCGATGAAGGCAGAGTTACGTCACTCGTGCGGACAGAAAAAGGTGTGCCGGCTTGAACGGAACCCCTAGTTATTTCCATATTTTGCATAGTTTCAAGTGTTGAAGTCGACGGAGTCGAAGTAGTCGATGATGCTGTCGATAGTTTCGAGGATGTAGGAGTTGAAGGTGTCGTGGATGATGTCACAGTTGTTGATGTAGGGAAGGTGGACTTTGGAGCAGATGGTTTAATTGTCGATGTCGTTGGGGTGAAAGTGGGTGAAGTCGCTGATGAAGTTGCCGTTGGCGTTGTGGTGGCGGTTTGTAGCGATGGCGTTTCTTGTGAAGATGAAGTTGTCTTTGACGGTGCTGAAGTGGATAGCGATGGTAACTCAGAAGTCGTAGATGGAGATGTAGGAATAGATGTAGATGCAGTGACGGCTGTTGTTGTGTTGATGGAGTTTGAAACTGACGTTGACCCAGCCATAAGTTCAGTGCTTGTGAGCTGTCTAGGTTCAGTGGTTGTTGTAGAGGGTGTGCTCTGTGTAGTGCTGACTATAAAGGGAGTCGTTGTTGCCACATGCGTTGTGTTCGTTGATGACGGATCTGCACTCGGTTCTGTTGTCGTTGACGTCGTTTCGTCTGCTTGATCATCATCAGAAGAGGGTAGTTCAGTCACATCCATCTTTGTCATTGTACTCCTTTTCACAATCGGAGCATCTTCCAAGTCATTGTTGTCCTCTTCGCTTGAACTGTCCGTGACGGTGGTCAAGCTAGGAGCATCGGTCACCGGGAAATGACCAATCTCGGCGCTGTTCAGGTTGTCCGGGAAGACTGGATACACCTCTTTGCTTCTGGGATGAGTGGCGGGAGGGTAATGAAGGCCGGGAAAACGGAAACCAGATGGCGCTGAATCAGGAAGGTCAAGGTCAACATTATGACGGGCTTGCATGTAATCATCATAATCGCTATTGCTCGCCCTCTTCCGTCTCGACAGTGTGTGGTTAAGGGAGATAACTCCACACTTTCCAGTGACGTCATCAAATGAGTCCGTGTTCCACCTCCATCCCCGTTTGATTTTGCCATAACCTGCATGCGGTCTGGAACATATACATATATAAAATCGAACAGTACTTCAGACATGTACAGGAAAGAGTCCGCCCTATCGCTAACGCTAAAATCAATGTTCATGGCCCAGTTTTCGCTGATTGTCACTGAGCAAAGCCTAATGCTATTGTTGCTGCACAAATTGAATATATGCTGTTTGTTTTCCTTATCCATAGTTTGCATGTCTCTAATGAAGCAGGGGCAGTGGGGTAGCCTCGTGGTTAAAGGGTTCGCTCGTTCCCAAGAGCCTGGTTCGATTCCCCTCATGGGTACAATGTGTGAAACCGATTTCTGGAATGTTGCTAAAGCGGCATAAACTCAACGTCCTCACTCTAATGAAGGAATGTACCTACCCGGCATATGACTCTACCAGAGACGGGTTCAGTTCATCCCAGACGAACTTGGTCTCTTCTTCATGCAGACCTGTCCAGAAGGTGTCCAAATCTGTCCACGGATAATCAATGCACTTTTTATGATCCACACGAAAAATGCATAACTTTCATGTTTGTAAGAAACTAATAGCAGCATTCAATGAGATGGAAAACAGATGCTATGATGAGAGTGATTCTGCTACACTGTAAAACCGGAAGACACTATTTGTGTCCATCATGAAACCGACGTGTCGCAGCCAACTGTTTCTTCCTTTATCCATGTAGATTCCTTTTGATATCCAATCTCAGCACATTGACTATCGAAGCTCTAATTATTCACTGATTTACAAAAGATTTTTGCTAGCGGACACAATTATACAATCAATTTTAAAAAGAAAATATTTTAGATAACAAAATATTTCACATTCAAATCTTTTGATTAACACATATGCTATGACTATTCATATAATTTACAGTTGATAACGTTTACGTACTTTGGTCAGTAATGTATTCTTCCAAAGTCTGGAAGCCAATCTTCACACGCTTGTCAAGTTTTAGCAAAAATGCGTCATTCGCCCTGCAGGTATCAAGTGACTGCTCCCATGGCAACGACTTTATGTTTGTCTGTATGCAAATGTATGTAGAAGGTCCACCGTCTAGATTCTCTGCCACAGCTGGGGTCCACCCATCCCTGCATATAACGGGCACCTGTTGCTGAGCTGCCCGCCTTGGGGGAGGGGGGAATCTCGGCACGGCTTGTAAGTGGGAAATGCTCGCTGGAAACAATCAACACATGCATGGGTGATCATAATGACAATAAACATGCATGTCTGCAGGATAATGTGCAGGTATACAGAGAATGATCCCACATGCATTCCATGCGGCACATACAAATCTAACTTCAAACAATTAAGAAGAATTAAAAGATGCACGTGTACAGTGAAACACTGTTGAGTCGAAGTTTAAGTGATCTTAAGAAATACTTCGAGTTATCCGACGTTCGGCGCAAACACAAACTGATGACGAAACAATGTATACACAGACAATAAACATTTTCTTCGATATAACCAGAAGTTCGACATAGCAAGTTTCAGAACATAGGATGTGGTATATATACGCCCTTGGTAGATTACATTGGCGAAACTATATTCTTCTGATACAAACACAAATCGGTCTTAATACCGATGTCACCAATACACACACCTGTGTGAAACAGGCCAATCATTTATAAAACGTGAAATGTATTTGTAGACTGATTATTTTTGTAAATACTTCGCGAAACATTGGCTATGTAGCGACATCATGAATGTGAAATGAGTTACGCTATATATATATTTTGCTGAAACTGGGATAGGATAATGCATATCAAAGGTCTTAAGGTCTTATCAAAGTAGATACATTATTCATGAAATTAAATGACGGGAACATTAGATAGAGCATCTAAAGATGAGTCACCAGAATATGTTGGATACATTCTGACCTGAATACCGAAGAACATTGTAGGAAAAACATTTGTCAGGCTTTGACAAAACAAACGCCGCCACCTGTCTGAAGATAAAGTGGAAACTCTCCCGAGAGAGTCAATCGGGAGCATTGACTGACGTATCACGTGTGAACTTTCACATTAACATCGTGAGGAGACAGACCCACTACAGTGTGTTAGGACACGTTCATCACGGCGCTGTCATTCCTCCCGTCATGTCGTCGTTTCAAACCTTAGCTGTGTAATACTTCAGAGGAGATCAAACACTGTCAATTTCCTCTTCAACAACCCCGTGTTGTCGGTTTTGTTAAAGTAAAAAGGGGCGATTTGAGTGAATGAGGGGGGTTCACGTGAGAACGGGGGACGGGTAGGGAAAATGGGGCGTCGACGGGTAGGGACGGGTCGTAGGTAGTGCGTAGACAGGGTGGTGATTGGGGTGGAATGAGGTAGTGTATAGAATGGGTAACATATTCAACAGTTTTGTTCAACATATTTTTGCTTGGAGCAGGTCGCAGAAATTCTGCAGCCACCAGCTAATTTGAAAAAACATAGAAATGCAGTAAATGGACATTGTCTCAATTCTACGGAAGCGTAGTAGGGCCACGGTGAAAAATTTTTTGGGTCTTACTATCTCCTACGTAGTACTTGATATCTCCTACGTAGGACTTAGTATCTCCTACGTAGGACTTAATATCTCCTACGTAGGACTTAGTATCTCCTACGTAGGATGTGGCCCTACTACGCTTCCGTACAATTCTGTCTCTGACTTGAATTGTAATTTCATTTGAGAAGATGTAGGCGGCGTCACTATATCACATGTAACAGAGGGGCGTTTACTCATACGCGTATTCAATATAATGTTTGGTGGGTTCGTGGTCCGTAAACTTGCTCTAAATCCCTAACATGAATTCATTATATCAATGCTGTAAAGACTTATATAAAGACTTCCTTTACTACTAATATGACCTCCATAGGATACTTCAATACTGTGACCTCCATGCGGATACTTCAGCACTATGATCTCCACATAGAATACTTCAATACTATGATCTCCATACGGATACTTCAATAATATGACCCCCATACGGATACTTCAATGCTATAACTTCGATATAAAATACTTCAGTACTATGCCCTCCACATGGATAGTTCAATACTATGATCTCCATACGGATACTTGAATACTGTGATCTCCATACGGATACTTCAATACTATGACCTTACCTTACCTTACCTTACCTTACCTCATCTCACCTCACCACACCACACCTCACCACACCTCACCACACCACACCACACCTCACCTCACCACACCTCACCTCACCTCCTCACCTCACCTCACCTCACCTCACAACACCACACCACACCACACCACACCACACCTCACCACACCTCACCACACCACACCTCACCTCACCTCACCCCACCACACCTCATAGTGGTAGTAGTGTCATGGAGTGCACGCGCCAGTGCATGCATCAAAGTCACCGGGTACACCACCACACCGAGGCTGACGGTCAGTCATTAGTCATACATATCAATAGTCACACCTTGTCATACATTAAAACAAGACTCATTCGTCAAAATTCCAGAGTCAACTAATTAATGAGTTTCATTAATCTTGCCTAAAAATACATTTTACACTGCTATCGCATTAGGAAAACCTAGGATTGCTATATTCAATTAATTTTCATTGCAAGAGAACGTTCTACTTATATTTGTGAAATGGAATTTCATAAGGTATCTAAAGTATTACATTCTAGCTGCCATGTTCGTATTTTCTTTCTGTATTAAGTCGAATGAATCAATAACGACTTTGATGAAATGATGTAATTAGCCACATGCAATACGCCCCGGGCTGGTGAGAGGTCTGGCCCCAGCGACGTAGTCGCGCCGACGTACATACACCCGCGGCGGCTGCAGTTCGGGGATTTTTGTGACTGATTTATGCATGATTAATATGCTTGCAACGGCAAAGAGTTGTCGGGACCTATGAAAGAGATTTCTTTATAAAATGTGTTTTTATGGTAATGTGTAATTACTTATAGAGTTTAGTCGTTGAGTATTCTGTCTGCTTTACCATAGGATGTTTGTAGTATGGTTTCCTTGGCCACGCTCAGTTAACACATGATTTAACCGTCCATACAAATCTACAAACATCACCTGACATCTTTGCATATCTACACACATTATCGCCCTATTTATGAATTATATTTAACACATCACCTTATGGCTGTTTCGTAGATGGTATTAACATGTTGGTACAAACACACCTTTCTCTCATTGATTATTCACTCTATTAAACGTTTAACCAAAACACATTTCACAAACATTACCAACACGTCGCTTGTCATGCGTTTGACCACCCGTTGAAGAAAATAAAACCAGCAAATCCGTGCGCGTAAGTTTGCAGCGCACTTCCATGTCACTCCCGTGTTAATATATATCTTCGTCACGGATAGTGTTATGTGCGTATAAGGGGAGACAACTAGACAGGACTGTGGTCACAGACATGTGCACGGAAAAATTATTTTTTTATTACAGTTGGGTTTTGTTTCTTCTCAGAATAGTTCATTTGATGCACAGACACAATGAGATATCCTAGTACCCCTTGTTAAACTCGTCTTGAACATTCAGTTTAATACCAGCGATCATATATTTATCAGCACACCCGTAAGAAAATCTGTAAATATGAAGCGTAAACACCAAAGAATACTGGTTATCTGCCTAAAGGCAAAAACATGAAAAAAAGTATATACAGTGAAACCTGCCAACACCGACACCTGTCTAATCCGGCACATTGTCTAAACCGGCATTTTATTTCGGTCCCTTGGGGTGCCGGTTTAGACAGGTTTCACTGTACATGGATCACTGAAATTTGGTTATGCCACCAGCTGTTGGTCAAAAGGGTAAACATTCTACAGGTGGCACCCGCCTGCAACATATTTGATTACAACAGGTAAATGTTAGCTTGTGTTTATTGTATGGGGCGGTGGGGTAGCCTAATGGTTAAAGCGTTGGCTCGTCACGCCGAAGGCCCGGGTTCGAATCCCCACATGGGTACAATGTGTGAAGCTCATTTCTGGTGTCCCCCGCCGTCATGTTGCTGGAATATTGCTAAAAGCGGCGTAAAACCAAACTCAGTCAGTCAGTCAGTCAGTCAGTTTATTGTATGTGTTGCTGACTCCTGCCATACCACGCAGTCTGGACCAGACAATCCAGTGATCGCGAGTTTAGACAATTCACTGTCACTAGAGCATATGAGGCACTGCCAGCACTGTCCCCCAACATCAGAGTCAACTGATTACCACGTGTACCTTACTGTTCCACATTGCCTCAAGACAGGCTTTATTCTTCTTTAATGTTGACAGTAACAGACGTGATTGTGACAGAGTGATGGTCGGCATCTACAGACATCACCCGAGCAGGGTAAACCCGATCCATCATCGGCACACAGGGACAGATTTACTGCTTATGAAGCATGGGAGTTTTTGGAGCTAAACTCTGTCAGATATCATACTGCGTTGCTGATGTACGATTTTACTGCCTTGAAATACATCATAATTAATGACACGTATGTCAGAAATTTCTTCGGAATAACAAGATTTCTCTATACTTGTTGTGTGTCGGATTCTTGTATCATTTTGTACTATTCGATTTATACTAAACAGGTTTTGTTTGGGTTTTTTTAGTAATCAGGATCAAATGGATTTGATAGAATCTGTTTTGCATGGATTTTAATGTTTGTCTGGATTAACGTGTTTCTACAATTTGTTTGTATTAACACGGCATGCCATATTTCGGTTTCCCAGTATTTGTCTTCCTCTTCGTGTTACACAAAGTTTGCTTGTAATAACACGTTTTCAACACACTTTCGTCTGTCAGTATATAAATATACTCACGTCCAAAAGAAACTTGACCCTTATATTTTCGCTCTAAAGAAACTGTGACTTTTTAAACATTGCAAAATACAATGTCCCGAGTTCTCCCGCGTTCATAGAGACTTGAAATTGTATAGCGGGAACGCAACATTTCCAAAGCATGGTTCACAGGCACGGTTGCTTGTAAAATCGGTTTTCTCGCAGTTGCACGAACCGCACGTGCAATTTTGGGTATAAAATGCCCCCATATAACCCTCTTCCATCAGTGTCATTGGAAAACCACAGCAAGAATGCCGAGACTGACAGCAGAACAGCGTGAACGAGCCATCGGTACCATCCAAATGGGGGCTTCTCGTGATCACGTTGCGAGAACCTTCGCTTGCTCTACCACGGCTATATCAACCTCCTCCAGCGGTTCCAACAGACAGGCCAGACGAGGGACCGGCCCAGATCAGGGAGACCCCGCATCACAACGGCACAGGAAAACCAATACATCCGTAATCTCCACCTACGTAACCGCTTCCTGACGGCAACGTCAACGGCAACAACGGCATTGGGTCGCCACCTCAGTCGACAGACAGTGGCCTGACGTCTCCGTGCCTACGGCATTAGGAACTACAGACCGTACAGAGGAACTTTCCTGACACTTAGACATCACCAGCAGAGATTACAGTGGGAACGTCACGTACGACGCTGGCAGAGACGTGAGTGGCAAAGGGTACTCTTTTCGGACGAGAGCAGGTTCTCTCTGTTCCATAATGACGGAAGGACATGAGTTTACGAACTAATGGCGAGTGGGCGAATTAATGGCGAGTGGGCGAACTAATGGCTCCTTGTTGCATTCAGGAGACGGAGCCTTTGGGTGGAGGGGGTGTAATGATCTGGGGATTAATTTTTGGAGACCGGACCACTAGACTTGTTGTGTTTGACGAGACACTGACTGGTCAACGCTACATCAACCACGTTTTGAGGCCAGTAGTTCTCCCTTTCCTGCAGCAACAGCAGCGAGAGACTCTCTTCCAACATGACAACGCCAGGCCCCATGTTGCTAGAGTTGTACAGGACTTTCTTAATCGCAACAACGTCAACGTTCTACCCTGGCCCCCAAGGTCTCCTGATATGTCACCGATCGATAACCTCGGGGACCACCTCGGGGACCACCTCGATCGCCGTATCAGACAACAACAACCACCTCCACAAACACGTCGGCAGTTGATCCAAGCGCTGAGGGAGGAGTGGCAGAGAATACCCAACAACCTCATCAGACGGCCGACGTCATCAATGCGCAGATGTGTGTTTGCATGCATCCAGGCCCAAGGAGGACACAACCGTTATTTACAAAGCTTTTTGACCACTCTCAAAGTCTATGAAAGTGTAAAGTCTTTATCTTTTGGCTATGTAAATTTCAAATTTCACCCCTTCTGTAAATGGCACGTCAATACTTCATTAATGTTCAACAAATCTTGATTAAAGTTTGTGATGTGCTTCTCAATAGATTTATGTGTTTTAGGTTTAGGTTTTAATGACATGGGACTGAAATTCTGCACACAGTCAGTACTTTGTCAGGTGTCAAGTTTCTTTTGGACGGGAGTATAGTATAACAATGCTTTGTTTTTTCGTGGGAACAGCGTTTGCCTTGTCTTACAGGTGTTTACTATGCTTAATTAATGATACTTGTTATAAGTACTGTTTTACAGAATCTGCTTGCATTATTAAGGTTCCCTGTATCGAGGTTTCCTATAGTTGGATTAAAGGGGTTTCAGTATACTTGACTGGCGTCAGATTAATCTAATATGAATTGCAGTGTCTGGCTTTATAACGGGGATACAATCTCGTTCTTCTGTTTCCCCACCATACCGTGACACTGACACGGCAGACTATATTTAATGTTAATGCCAGCTACAGTTGTATATGCTTATTGTCTTTTTATTGCAAGATGGACCATTTTTGGTTGGTCTCACATAAACCCTCGTGACTGGGTTAAGGGTGTTCACCTACATGTCATACAGGACGCTGCTGAGTACTGAGGCGCCCCCCTTTCCCCACCTCGACACCTAACAAGAGGCCATTTCTATTAGGCCGCTTCATATATTCTTGTTTAGTTTAACCTATGAAAATGGTAGATGGATAGAATTTTATCGTAGTTTAAACAAATGTTATATTTTGTGATACACTTTCTTAGTCAAAGTACAACTTGTACTGTTTTGGGTTGAGCCCATCTCACACTGAGAGTGAGGCACCAAATCGCCTCACACAGTCAGAGATCTAACCCACTCAGCCACCACGGTGGCTTCGCATAAATTCCTTGAACTGTTAAGTCACATTACTCCAACCTAACTTGCTTCACATGTACGTTTCCATAGAATTTCATGTATCAAACATAATCCAGATCAAATCAAATCCAGATTTGAGTACACTCACTAACTACTACTACGAGAGCTTTTGACATGGCCTGTGCTTGTAAAATAACCGTTAATCACTTTCAGTGAGGTGGAAACGTTGACACTGAATCTACATCTGTAACATGCTGATATGTATGTACTCATCCCAATGCATGTAAAACAGAGTAGGTATCATCGTCATGCAGTACATGCAATGTCGTCCCATCGTTCTGCTCCAGGCAACTGTTTAACATACTTCCGCCATTGCAACATGTTAGTGGGGTACGGTAATGCCTCATGGCTCTGATCTGAGAATGAATGATTGACAATATGCGCATAACGTCAAACTATTTTATTCCTGGTATCCAGGAAGGGCCTCGCTATTTGACTATACGAACGTGTTAGACCTATTCTCAGCAATGTCAGCTTGATTTAGCGGTGTCGTTACAAGTAATTACAACCTAAACTATTTTGACAGGTCAGTGATATCCAGTGACCGATTATGTCTGAATCATCGTTGAAAAATATGAGAGGAATGAAAGTTACTTTATAAAGTCAATATGTAATATTAATCATGAAATAGAATAATCAGTTTTGATCAGACAGCCTAGCCCCAGGGAGTACCCGACTGACTTCTTGTATTAACTAAGAACCCTGATGTATACAGGACCGTCCTTGAGGTATCACACTGACGTATTGTATTAACTAAGGACCCTGTCTCATTATGATCACTATCGGGATTCAGGCTAAAGTCAAATATTGGACACATGAAAATATATGTATATAAAATCAATTTTGCCATTATCAGTGAATGGTTGGGATACGCTGTATGACACTATAAGATATTTCATTCAATTAAAAACAATTACGAAAAAAATATTTATTAGCAACGTGTATCCTTTATTTCAATGTTATGGACAACTTATGGTACAGGGCAAAAACCAAAATATGCACTGTAGAATGAGATTCAGTTATAGTCACCTACAAAACAGAGGTTGGATCGTTTTGTTGCTATTGGTCCGAAGTGCAGTCCTGATCAATATTACGAAGATAATCTACATGATCTTTTTCGGTATAAAAAATATTTTATTTACGGATAAAGATAAAATTGTTTCTTTTACGTAACATTTTATGATATTCAACCCGCTCTGTTTTGAAATACAACCCTGAAGCAAATATCAGTGAGATAAGAGTTAGTGTGTTTTACGTCTAATGCCTATATCACAGTGACCTGTAGGCCATACAGTCTGGGTCAGTAACTACTATAAACCAGTAGCAGTGGTCCACTCGGTCGGCCAAGATGACACAGCCTGGTCACAAGGTATGACTGCGTCACACTAATGGAGCCGGTTTGCGACAAGCATGAGTTTCTGGGGTACAAACCACGAGCAAGACAATTATTTCACTTGTATTTGCTACAGAGCACGTTACAGTCTGCATCAACAGCATGGTTCTGCCTGAAGGAAGTTCATAGTGGAATGTTTATAGCTGTTGTTTCTTACAGACTCTGTACCTCGTCTACCTGACCTCATGTCGCGCAAATATGGAGCCATCAAATTAAAGTTGAAAATATGAGGTGGTTTATTTGTATTCCTGTCAAGGTGATGTGTCTACCATCACTCACCTAGGATGTGCAGGAGAAGAGCCGCGGTGTCTAGCGCTCTACAGTGTAGCATGCCTTCTTGGGGAGGTCAACCATGTCACTCACCTGCAGCATAGACGTGTACAATGTAAACAAGAAGACATCTGCATACCCCCATGTAAACAATAAAGATATATACATACCCCATGTAAACAATAAAGATATATACATACCCCATGTAAACAATAAAGATATATACATACCCCATGTAAACAATAAAGATATATGCATACCCCATGTAAACAATAAAGATATATGCATACCCCATGTAAACAATAAAGATATATACATACCCCATGTAAACAATAAAGATATATACATACCCCATGTAAACAATAAAGATATATACATACCCCATGTAAACAATAAAGATATATACATACCCCATGTAAACAATAAAGATATATACATACCCCATGTAAACAATAAAGATATATGCATACCTCATGTAAACAATAAAGATATATACACACCCCATATAAATAATAAAGATATATGTATACCCCATGTAAACAATAAAGATATATGTATACCCCATGTAAACAATAAAGATATATACATACCCCATGTAAACAATAAAGATATATGCATACCCCATGTGAAACAATAAAGATATATACATACCCCATGTAAACAATAAAGATATATGCATACCCCCATGTAAACAATAAAGATATATGCATACCCCATGTAAAACAATAAAGATATATACATACCCCATGTAAACAATAAAGATATATACATACCCCATGTAAACAATAAAGATATATGCATACCCCATGTAAACAATAAAGATATATGCATACCCCATGTAAACAATAAAGATATATGCATACCCCATGTAAACAATAAAGATATATACATACCCCATGTAAACAATAAAGATATATGCATACCCCATGTAAACAATAAAGATATATACATACCCCATGTAAACAATAAAGATATATGCATACCCCATGTAAACAATAAAGATATATACATACCCCATGTAAACAATAAAGATATATGCATACCCCATGTAAACAATAAAGATATATGCATACCCCATGTAAACAATAAAGATATATACATACCCCATGTAAACAATAAAGATATATACATACCCCATGTAAACAATAAAGATATATGCATACCCCATGTAAACAATAAAGATATATACATACCCCATGTAAACAATAAAGATATATGCATACCCCATGTAAACAATAAAGATATATGCATACCCCATGTAAACAATAAAGATATATGTATACCCCATGTAAACAATAAAGATATATGCATACCCCATGTAAACAATAAAGATATATGCATACCCCATGTAAACAATAAAGATATATACACACCCCATGTAAACAATAAAGATATATGTATACCCCATGTAAACAATAAAGATATATGTATACCCCATGTAAACAATAAAGATATATGCATACCCCATGTAAACAATAAAGATATATGCATACCCCATGTAAACAATAAAGATATATGCATACCCCATGTAAACAATAAAGATATATGCATACCCCATGTAAACAATAAAGATATATGCATACCCCATGTAAAAATAAAGATATATAAAGTAAAACAATAAATATATGTGCATACCCCATGTAAACAATAAAGATATATGCATACCCCATGTAAACAATAAAGATATATGCATACCCCATGTAAACAATAAAGATATATGCATACCCCATGTAAACAATAAAGATATATGCATACCCCATGTAAACAATAAAGATATATACACACCCCATGTAAACAATAAAAGATATATGCATACCTCATGTAAACAATAAAGATATATACATACCCCATGTAAACAATAAAGATATATGTATGCCCCATGTAAAACAATAAAGATATATGCATACCCCATGTAAACAATAAAGATATATACATACCCCATGTAAACAATAAAGATATATGCATACCCCATGTAAACAATAAAGATATATGCATACCCCATGTAAACAATAAAGATATATGCATACCCCATGTAAACAATAAAGATATATGCATACCCCATGTAAACAATAAAGATATATACATACCCCATGTAAAGCAATAAGAGATATATGTATACCCCATGTAAACAATAAAGATATATACATACCCCATGTAAAACAATAAAGATATATGCATACCCCATGTAAACAATAAAGATATATGCATACCCCATGTAAACAATAAAGATATATGCATACCCCCATGTAAACAATAAAGATATATGTATACCCCATGTAAAATAATAAAGATATATGTATAACCCATGTAAACAATAAAGATATATGTATGCCCATGTAAACAATAAAGATATATGCATACCCCATGTAAATAATAAAGATATATGCATACCCCATGTAAATAACAAAAGATATATGTATACCCCATGTAAACAATAAAGATATATGTATACCCCATGTAAACAATAAAGATATATGCATACCCCATGTAAACAATAAAGATATATGTATACCCCATGTAAACAATAAAGATATATGTATAACCCATGTAAACAATTAAAAGATATATGCATACCTCATGTAAATAATAAAGATATATGCATACCTCATGTAAACAATAAAGATATATGTATAACCCATGTAAACAATAAAGATATATGCATACCCCATGTAAACAATAAAGATATATGCATACCCCATGTAAACAATAAGAGATATATATACCCCATGTAAACAATAAAGATATATGCATACCCCATGTAAACAATAAAGATATATGCATACCTCATGTAAACAATAAAGATATATGCATACCCCATGTAAACAATAAAGATATATGCATACCCCATGTAAACAATAAAGATATATGCATACCCCATGTAAACAATAAAGATATATGCATACCCCATGTAAACAATAAAGATATATGCATACCCCATGTAAACAATAAAGATATATGCATACCCGATGTAAACAATAAAGATAATATTATATACATACTCCATGCAAACAACATATACATACATACATACATACAAACATACAAACATACATACATACATACATACAAACATACAAACATACATACATACATACATACATACATACATACATACATACATACATACATACATACATACATACATACATACATACATACATACATAAACGTTTTTCTCAGCGTTTCAATACAGGAACTCAGCATGTAAACTGCAAATAGTCAATGAAAAAGGCTTATGAAGGCTTTGAAGGCTTAAAATGGAATATGAAGACTGGGGTCCAGGCAGTCTCAGTTATCCGCCGAGACGACTTCCACAGAGCGTAAAAGTGAAATAGTGGTCCAAACGATGTAAACTGATCACTGAAATTCAGTGATGAAGCTGTGCATTCACGGAAGTGGCTATTATTAACATATTTAAGTTTTTTCCAAAGGTGAAATCAATACCTGCTGTTATTCCTAGCATCTGTATTAACTAGAAGCCAGCACAGTAACGTTCCATATATACCGCCCCTGAGATGTAGCGTTGTGACCGTCCATGAAGATGAGCCTTTCGATCGCTCTTGGTAAACACCCACAGCTCGCCGAGTCACTTCTAAAGGACCGACGTCTGTGATGTCATAGCAGCTCTGTGCAAGTGTCGCGTATGATAGGTTGGATGCTCTATGTCACCGGGCCGTCCGTATCAACCCTTCTGGGACTTGGTTACCAATGAAGGGATTTCTCTACAAGACTCTACAATCTCTACTTGAGATTACTATGTCTTCATGGTGGTCCGATTAATTGAATGTCATCGGTTCCCAATACCGCAGATCGATGCTCATGCTGTTGATCACTGGATTGTCTGGTCCAGACTCGATGTTTTACAGACCGCCGCCATATAGCTGGAATATTACTGAGTGCGGCGTAAAAGTAAACTCACTCACTCACTCCGATTAATTGAAATAATCGAAGATTGGTCGCAGTGACTAAACAACCAAGCAATTGATCATGTTTTCTCATAATCGAACACAAACAATTTTGGAACACTTGTTTGTATCAACAACATTTTTTCTGGTTTTGTCTGTGTCATAAAATATACATTTCATAAGTACTACGAACTCGTTCCTGGTCATGATTGAATATATATACACGCACTACTCAGACTATATGACTATAGTTAATGTGTCATAGTATATAAATGTTCTTTGTATTCTTTTGGATAGAATATATGGAACTAATTTAAAATACTAAACGTATTTTATATGCTATGAAATATTAACTATGGAAGAAAATATCCAAAATGTCTAGTAGTGCACTTGAAGAGTAAGACGAATGTAACAATGAAATAACATTTCAGTTAGTGATATATGTTGTTTAGTGGGGAAATACGACCTTAAAGCCAAAGATTTGACTGATATTTAATTCGAGTGAAGCAACACTACCTGCTGGAAGTACTGCCGACCCACTCAACATTGTTCTATATGATAAATAGGCGTGGAGACATAAGGCGACGTTGTCTGAACACACGATAAGATACACAAAGACATACACAGTGGACGACTTTGGCTTAACGTCGCTTTCAGCAGTATTCCTGTTACGTTAAAACGTGTGTCGTCTTGATGTGGGAGCAAAGCCTAAAGTGATGCGGGGCTTTCACGTTTACCACTTCCACGGTATTGTGCTATCATACCTAAAATCCTGACCGGGAAGAACCGGAATTCGAACCCAGATAGTGTTGATGAAACAGGTGTCGTCATGTACTATCTCCACACACCCACGGTGGCCATCATTATAGTTGTCTGTGTCCTCCAGGATTTACAGTTCTGCTGTCACGGCGAGACTGTAATGTCTACGATCAGTCGCCTTTAATTTTCAGACACATAAACAACTTTTAAAAATAAATATATAAATCATCTTTTTAAAAAGAAAAGATTGTGTCGTATTTTCTTTGTTGAAGAGCTTTCCTCTGTAGCCAGACTTGTATCAACTAAGCATGTAGGGACGAGGGAGATATTCGTGTGCGTCATCTCAGTGTTAGCACCTTGCAGGACAGGACATAAATCAGCGTAGGGTGGACTGACTGTCTCCCGCACCAGCTAGCGTACATCACACAC